TCTGGGGGTGCTGCTGCTGGGGGCACTGGAGCTGGTCCTGTCGACCCTGGAGTAGGAGACCCTGGAGCTGGAGGTGCCGGTTTTGGGGGTGCTACTGCTGGAGGCCCTGGAGCTGGAGGTTCTGGAGCAGCTAGAGGCGCTGGAGCTGCTGGTGCTCGTCCTGGAGGTGCTGGAGCTGCCGGAGCTTGTGGTGCTGCGGGCTTTGGAGCTGGAGGCGCTGGCGCTGGAGGCGCTAAAGCTGGAGGCGCTGGAGCTGGAGGTACTAGAGCTGGAGGCGCTGGAGCTAGAGGCGCTGGAGCTGGAGGTTCCTGAAGCTGCTGGAGGCGCTGGAGGCGTTGGTACTCGTACTGGAGGTGCTGGTGCTGGTGGTACTAGTGCTGGTGGTATTGCAGAGCCGCGACTGTTCTTCTCTCCGCCGTCACCGTCGTCTCTGCCACCGCCTGACTCCGCGCTTCGCCAGGTTCTTAGCCTCCCGTCTTCTACGGGTCTCCCGTTACAGCCAGGCTCTCCACTGCCTGCTCCTTCTCCTTACACTGAGCAGACAGACTCGCTTACCGAGCGTCGTGAGCCTGCGTCTCGTCCTGCCTCGCCTGTTCGCGCTCGTCGCACTGGTCGCCGTGTTCCTCGTGAGCGTCCTCCTCCTGTCCCCGGCACGCACACTATGGCACTTCGTCCTTCCTCTGTTCCACTGCGTGTTCCCTTGCTGTCTCCCCCTGCGTCCTCTCTTCCGCACGTTTCGGACCCTGAGTCTGACCTAGTTCGTGCTGCCAGTCCTACTGTTACGCGTCTCTTAGCCACTGTTGTCACTGACCCTTCGTTTGAGTCTGCTGCTGCGTCTGCCTTAGTCGCTGAGCTTGTTGACGAGGTTCCCCCACCTGGTGCGAACATCGTCAGTGGCATGTGGATTTTCAGGGTGAAGCGGCCGCCGGGTTCTCCGCATGTCTTCAAGGCGCGTTACGTTGCACGTGGCTTCAGTCAGCGACAGGGAGTTGACTTCTTCCAGACCTTCTCCCCTACCCCGAAGATTACCACTCTTCGGGTTCTGCTGCACGTCGCCGCTCAGCGTGACTACGAGCTTCACTCTCTTGACTTCAGCACCGCTTTCCTACAGGGCAGCCTGCACTAGGAGATCTGGCTGCGCCGCCCACCTGGCTTCACTGGGTCGTTTCCTCCTGGTACCCAGTGGAGCCTCCGGCGGCCAGTCTACGGTCTCCGCCAGGCACCTCGTGAGTGGCACGACACACTGAGGACGACACTTGCGGCTCTTGGGTTTGCTCCTTCGACAGCTGACCCGTCGCTGTTTCTGCGCACCGACACTTCGCTGCCGCCGTTCTACATCCTCGTGTACGTCGACGACTTGGTCTTTGCTACTGATGACACCGAGGCACTAGCGTTTGTGAAGTCGGAGCTGCAGAAGAGACACACGTGCACAGACCTGGGTGAGCTGCGCAGCTACCTTGGCTTGCAGATCACCCGGGATAGAGCACGGCGCACCATCACACTGACTCAGTCACACATGGTGCAGCAGGTCCTTCAGCGCTTCGGCTTCACTTGGTCCTCGCCATAGTCCACTCCTATGGCTACAGGTCACTCGCTCTCAGCTCCACCTTCGGACGAGTCCGTAGAGCCGAGTGGCCCGTATCCAGAGCTTGTGGGCTGCCTCATGTACCTGATGACCTGCACTCGACCTGACCTTGCCTACCCCCTTAGCATCCTGGCTCGCTACGGTGCGCCTGGGAGACACCGCCGAGAGCACTGGGAGGCTGCTAAGAGGGTGTTGCGCTACTTGTGCAGTACATTGGGCATGGGGCTCGTGCTTGGAGGACGGGGTGAGGTTGTCCTCACTGGACACTCAGACGCGTCTTGGGTTGACGACCTGGCTACGCAGCGGTCGTCACAGGGTTACACTTTCAGCCTTGGCTGCGGCTCTGTTTCTTGGCGGTTTACCCGCTCGTCTTCTGTTCTCAGCTCCAGTTGTGAGGCTGAGATCTACGCCACAGCCATGGCTGCACAGGAGTTATGCTGGCTCACCTACCTGCTGACCGACTTGGGAGAGAGGCCTCGTTCTCCTCCAGTTCTGTACGTCGACAACAAGGCCGCCATTGCCTTGTGTCAGGAGCACAGACTGGAGCACAGAACGAAGCACATCGCTCTCCGTTACTTCCTGGCTCGAGAGTTGCAGCAGCGTGGTTAGCTTCGTCTTGCTCACGTGGCCACTCGGGCCAACAATGCTGATATATTCACCAAGGCACTTCCGTCTGGTGATCATCAGCGCTTCTGTACTATGTTAGCCCTTGTGCATGTTTCGTCTCACTTACTCACTTCGTGACTTTGCTTGTACTCTGACCTATATATACACCTGCATGCTTGTTCTTGCTAGGTAGCGATCACTGTACTGTTGTTGTTGCATATATACCTCAGCATGTGAACTGGCCTTGTGGCCCTTTGCTTGTGCTCGGAGTGTGTGGTGACGTTGTGAGCTTGCTTTGCTTTTCTTGACTGGTCTTGTGACCCCTTGTTCTCCCCCACTTTGCCTATGGGGGTGTGTCAAACCATTTCTGTGCTAGTTGTGTGTAGGTTATAGTGGGGTAGCCCATATGGGGTACAACCCAATATTAGGGTTAGTACTTGTACCCACAATTCATTCAATGCAACCATTCCTGCTTGCTATCTTGACAGTCGTGACGCGTGCTGAACGGGTTGTTGTTCGAGAACCCTCCGATTGGGTGAGGTGCCGGCTCAGGTGATGGTGAGCGAGCGCGAGGACGACGCGATCCGCTTGTTATTGCCATATTTCCTATGACATTGCGGACTGGAGCAGGCTGTGGCTGCTGCTGCTGCTGGTGCTGAACCGTTGGGTTCGGGTTGCGCGAAGGGGGTTGATACCCCTGGGCTGGACGCGAGTCGTTCCGTGCGTCTTGTCGGCCCGACCAGGTGCTCGGATTGGTCTGGCGAGGGCGAGAACGGGACTTGCATCGATCTGCCAGGTGCCCGAAATTTCTGCAAATTTTGCAGTAAAGGCGTCGCGGCCGTCGCTCTTCAGTGTTGTCGGCGTAGAAGGCGAGGCGTTCCCGTTCTCGTCGCGGCGCTGGTCGCTGCTGGTCCATATCCCGTTGTTCGACGAGGAGCGCGGCGCATAGGGTGGCCTCCGAGATGACCCCCTGCTGTCGGAGAAGCGCCTTGCAGGGCCGCCACTTTGGGCCGAGCCCTTGAAGCACGATATTGACGAAGATTTCGGGTTAGATCGAGCTAACTTCGCGATTTGATCGCGGAGGCTCCGACAGCGGTTGATGTAGCTATTAGCTTTCTCCCCTGGGGCCATTTTCGTCTCCAGTAGCTGCTGGAGTAGGCGGCTCGACGAGACCGAGTCCTTCGGTTGGTACACGCCGTTCAGGTGGCGCCAAGCGTCGAGGGCTGGAGCAGGTGAGGTTTTGCTCAGTTGCTCTGCCGGCGACATGTTCCGGAGAAGGACCCCGTACGCCATCAGGGACTCGTTGTAGTACCTCGTCGTGGCGTCGTCGGTGTCCTCAGTGGGTCCCGAGTAGCTCCCGTCGAAACAATGAAAAATCTGCGCGTTTTGCAGCAGCAACTCCAGCTCGAAGCCCCAAGTATAGTAGTCTCTGCCGTCAAAGCACACACTTGTCTTTATTTGTTATATGCTCAAAAACCTTGATTGCGCAGAGATAATTGATTCTTCGCTGGGACGGGGAGTCTTGGGTGTTGAGCCATTTGTGTCGAGGGAGAAGGTGTGCGGGGCGGAGTTCTGGCCATTCGAGGTCAGTTGAGTAGGTTGGGAAGATGTTCCCGCGTCGCCATTCCGCAATGTTTGGAGTCCTTGCTCCAGGCTGGTGAGTTGCTGAAGCAGTTGTACGAGGACGGCGGTTCCAATCGTTGTCGTTTCCTCGCTTGTCGCAGCTGGGTTGGGCTGCACTTCAGCCGTCAGATCCGTCTGACCACCAGATCCTTCGACCATTCTCACGCGTGAGCGTGTGCCGGACGCCACTTTTCGTTCGCCGAAGTTTTCGGAGGTGGCAGCGCGAGGGATTCCTGAGTCACTCTCATACCATGTTGCGATCCGAAGTTGATCGTCCCTACGATCACCTCAGGAAGGTTCGCACAAGACTGAGTAGTGGTGGTGGGCCCCTGACCTCAATAGCAGAGTGAATGTAAAATGTTTGAGATGATTAAAACATGCAAATACATGAAATACAAATAAGAGTACAGGGGAATACGAAACGACCTAGCTAGCCATGTACTCTTAAGGGGTACATTCCCTTATTGCAGCGAAACTCAACCGTGCGACTCCAGGTGGTTACGAAACCGTTCGGGCAGAATCCTCGCCACTGCTGCTGCCTGATGCTGTCTGCCCGACGGTCCAGATCCTTCCGTAACCGTACGACCCTTCGCGTCATTTCTGCCTTTTCGTCTTCATCCTCGGCAGTGCCTGCTTCGCTTGCTGCGGCAAGGAGTGCACAAAGTTCATTCATTTTTCACTATTTGGAACAGAGGAGCGTGAAATTGTTTGCAGGAATGAGAGTGCAATCCACGACATGGACGAATGCAATCATGACATGAAATCAGGAGAACTTGCATAAATGAGACATGCGCAAAGAACTGATTATGTTCAGACGGTAGCTACTACATATCTTATTAAGGATTATAACGTCGACGATGGATACTGCTCTAATAGGCAACCAGGATTTGACACCCAACAGTCCTCAGATTCGTCTTAGACTCGTCAGGCTCACATGGCGTTGTAACCTAGCAAAAGGTAGTCATTTCTAGGTGGCAGTAATTTCTTGGAAGATTTCTTGTACCGTATGTGCACAATATTTCAGTGCACTGGAAAGAGTCTTATTACAAGTTTCAACTATCAATAGTGTTGCTTTGGCTGGTAAAATAATACTATACTAGTAAACATTCCTGTGCAGCAGTAATTCCTTTGGCGATGCAGAAACCATTCTTGCATGGCAGTGAAGTGAATTCTGAGCAGTCGTGCACTAGCAAGTGATCTCCAAATCCAAAGCAGCTTGCCGGGCAGCAAGTGCTCTCTTTGAAAAGAAGTAGCGTGTGGGGGGTCGATTCTTGAGGCGCCTCAGAAACTGCGGCAGTTTGAAGGCCAGCAGCAGCAGCACTGCCAGTGGCAGCAGCAGCAGCAGCAGCAGCAGCAGCAGCAGCAGATTGTGAGGCGCAAGAACATCAGACAAAGCCTCCCCAACAGCAGCAGTGGCTTGTGGAGGTGAGGGTGTGAGGGAAGGTGCCCTGATGCCACCCCATGCAGGTGCGCCCACAGCTGCTGCAGCCGCGCCTCCATCCCCCTCAGTGCCACCTGTGGTCCGGGAGGAGGCCGTGATGTGGAAGGGGGATGTGGAATGCGGGGCATGGGGGGGCATTGGTACAAGGGAGTGGCATGGGTTGCAATGGTGCGTGGCACATCAAGCACAAAGAAGGATGTTTGAGAAAAGCGGATGTGATTAGGCATTTGACACGAGCGCATGAGCAAGTGATTGTTGCTCCCTCGGCCCACTGCCACTCTCCCTCGGCCCACTGCCACTCTCCCTCGGCCCACTGGCACCGCTGCACAGGCAGGAGGAACGAGTCAGGCCTGTGAGCCCCTGGCGTAAGCAAGAAGGGATGCCAGCAAGCAGGCATGTGGGCAAGCAGGCTTGGGAAGACAAGATCCAGCAAGGACGAGCTTATGGCTGAAAAATAACAGAAGAAGAAAGCAGGAGCCGGCTAGTGACAGCATTCAGCAGCTGGCACAACTTGAGGCAGCAGGCGGCATACCGTGAGGGACACACGTGCCAGCTGCAAGCCCTGGCGTGTACCCCTCATCACAGGCGCACTGGCCCTCAGGTGTACAGTAGGGTGGCGGCGGGTCATAAACATCATCATAGCAGGCAGACATGTCGCGAGAGGAATCAGGCTCAAAGGAGCACACGCCATGGCCGCTGCACGGTGGGGTGAGCGGCTGCGCCCCACAGAAGGCCCGGCACTCGCTGGCTCTCCTCTGTTGCTCAACACCGCAAAAGTTTCCTTCGCCTTCAAGGCAGTTGTGGTCGAACAGACACACGATGTCACGGTCTGAAGGAATGTCTGAAGCATTGTACAGGCCGGCAGCATTCAAAGGGGGAGGGTCTGCTCTGGATGTGAGGTAGTTGCGATGTATAGAGAGTCCGCGTTGGGAAGTGAGACGGGCCATGTGGTGCAAGGACGGCAGCTCTCCCGTCAGCTGGTTGTGGTCAAGGTGGCTGTGATGCGAAAGGAAGGTTGGGGTGGGAAGGGGTGGGAAGGCAGAGGAGTGGTTGGGAATGGGAGTGTAGGAAAAGATGAACTGCAGGAAAAAGGGAGTGATGAGACAGGAGTGGGATATTGAGTCGTCAAAACTTGAGTGGTCAAACCCAATTCTCATTTGTCAGCGCTGTGTTGGATCAGATGGGTGTGTCAACGCTCCATGCTTCCTCTCATCATTTCTAAGACGTGGACAGGGCGGTGTGGAGGAGGAAGTGATTCAAAGCATTCAGGGTATGAGACTATGAACAAGGTGACTCTACAGGTAACACGACCGATGGCAGACTCAGGAGCAGAGAGGGAGTAAGGGCGTGTTCCTATGGCCTCTTATCAGGGCAACCTCATATCAGATTCAGAAAGACTCGAGATTTTCGCTATGATTCGCAGTTTTCCATACTTGAAAAACCTGTGTTGCGCGATGTGAATCCGCGCGTGAAGTTTGCTTTGCCTGACATGCCATGCCACATCAGCAAGCCATGCCAAGCAATCACGCTGGATTTCGCGCGAGCGGAGCTCTGTGATGTCGGGTTAAATTGGACAGTGTTACGATGACCCCGTCACAGTGCTCAGAGATTAACCTTTCGCGCGCAAACTTTGTCGCGAGCTGTGTCAGCCACGTCAGGCAATCACACTCAACACGTACGAAAGATTCTTGTTTTGGCAGGAACAGGGATGCGGAAATCAACCTACTTTTTTGTCGCGCATCCAACCGGGAAATTAGCCAATAAAATTCCGATCAAGACGAGAAAATGGTGTTTCAGGCGAGTCTGATATGAGGTTGGCCTGATAAGAGGCCGTGAGAACACGCTGTAGTGGTGTTATGGGAGGAAAGGAACTGCGAGTGGATGGCTCATGAGACATCCAGAATGGCTGATGTGTAGAAAGGGAGAGACGTGTGGTGTGGGCGGCAGAAATGGAGAGACGTGCGAGTCGCATAAATCGAGCAGCTGCGAGCAGTAAGGGTGGCATTTTAGAGAGAAGAAGAGATGGGCAGCAGTAGTGCTGACAGATGTTGGAGATGAGTGCATGGGGTGACTGCAGCTGGTGACTCAACAGACTTGCCCTTAGAGTTGATTCATCAGCAGGCAACGCAGCCAGGTTGCTTGTAAGTCAAACACTCCACCATTCAGGGATGGCACTCATGTGTTGGGACGCCCGAGGAGGTAGCACTGACAGGATTCCGAGATTAGTGAGCGTGGTGATTGCAGCAGGTATCGTCCCCGCGAGGCGGTTGTAGCTGAGTTGCCTGAAGACAGACGGGTGGATGAATGGACATGGAGGGAAGGAGGGAAGAAGAGGGGATGAGGTGACGAGGAAGAGACGAAGAAGTGAAGCAGAGGGGAAGAGGAGAAGAGGAGAGGAGGGTAGGAGGAGAGGAGGACAGGAGAAGTGGAGAAGTGACTAGGAGAGGAGGAGAGGAGAAGTCAAGAAGAGAGGAGAAGGCAGAGATGGTGCCTTGGAGAAGTGTGAGTGCTGTTGCTGAAAGGTATGTGCCTTGAGAAACATGCACCTGCAGCAGCAGACGGAATTGAAGGCAACAAAGGTGCCTCCGTACTCTCCTTTTCTATTCTTGCCCTCGTCTCCCCTCCCTCCCTCCCTCTCCCATCTCCCCTCCTCTCCCTCCCTCTCCCTCTCCATCCCTCTCCCTCCCTCTCCCTCCCTCTCCCTCCTCTCCCTCCCTCTCCCTCCCTTTCCCTCCCTCTCCCTCCCTCTCCCTCCCTCTCCCTCCCTCTCCCTCCCTCTGATTCCGACCCTCATCCCTCCCACCCTCTCAAACCCCCGTTTCTTGGCAGAGACAGGCAGGCGGAACGAGGGGGTGGAGAAGGGGGGGGAGGGGTGAAGGGGAGGGAGAATGGGCGCACAGGGAGGTGAGTGCGGTGAGGTGGGCGCATGCAGGCGGGAATGGTGCCACTCAGCCTGTTGCTCTTCATCTCCCTGCCATGGCATGGCATGGGATGGCATGGGATGGGATGGGATGGGATGGGATGGGATGGGATGGGATCAGGCCCGTTGATTGGTCTTGAATCAGGCTGAATAAGCAGAGTCCTCACACGAATGTACTCTGGAAATTAGCCAAAAATGCCATTTTACATTAGAGATTCGCGCAAATCGCTGATAAATCAGCCCTGGCACAGAAAAAAAAATGCTGAACGTGCATATAAATGCTGGAATCTGAGGGCCAGGACATGATTCGATGGGATGAGATGGGATGGACGGGCAGGCCATTCGTAATGGATGGGCTAGTAGCCCATAGGGATGCCTCCACTCACTCTCTCACACTTTCACATTTAGTCCATAGGAATGCATACGTCACTGAGTCATTCACCCTCTCATCCCCTCACCCACTCACTCATTCACTCACTCACCCACTCACTCACACTTTCACCCACACGTCACTGACTCGCCCACCCTCTCGCGGCCTCTCACTCTCCCACTCACTCGCTCACTGGGGACCTATCAGGCTACCACACCTGATCATCCCACAGCACCTTGCATGTCTACCCCATCACCACTCACAACTCCTGCAGCTGCTTGAGGCTGCTGATTGCCTCTGGAATGGAGCCGGAAAAGTTGTTGCTCGGGAGATTCCTGGAGCATGGCGAGGGTGGGCAGAGGGCAGAGAGGGGAAGGTGGAGAGGGGAAGAGTGGCGAGGAGAAAGGTGGAGAGAGGAATAAGAGCCATTGAACGCAGGGAGGTGGAAGGTAGGGATGATTGATGGGAGTATGTAATGTAATGTTCTGACTGCAAAGCATGTGATGTACTGTACTGCAATGGTGAATCCTGCTGATAATGCAGACAAAGTTAAGCTGAGGGCGTAGGGAGAATGGGAGAGAGGGGGGTGAAAGGAGAAAGCGATAGAGGGGGATGGAGCGAGAATGGGAGAGAGAGGGGTGGAGGGAGAATGGGCGCACAATATGGGATGGGATGGCATGTGATGGGATTGCATGGGACGGGATGTCATGGGATGGCATGGCATGGGATGAGACGGCATGGGATCGAGGATAAGGTATAGCATGTAGTAGGGGATTGAAGATGTGTGGCAGCTCTGTAGACTGATGGCAGCTCATGGCAGCTCATGGCAGCTCATGGCAGCTCATGGCAGCTCATGGCAGCTCATGGGTACAATCAATCAATCTAGCTTCAGTCAAACAAGCCACGAACGGGGGAAAAGCTGCAGTTACACAAGCATGAGAACTAGAGGGAAGAGCCATTGCAAAGGCACAAGAGGCATTCGAAAAGGACTGTAGGCAGTACCAATGCCTTCCTCCCCACCCCAAGACTCACGGCTTGCAATTCTTCCCCTGTGAGTTGAGTGGTCGAGCTGGTGATGTGAGTTGCGGCATCAGGCAACAATGGCTTGCAGGACTCAAAATGCACTCTCAGTATCCCACCCACTGTCATATCACAAGAAACGATGCACATCCCTCTTCCTTACAGATTTTCCAGGTTGGTGAGCGCTCCTATTGCCTCGGGGATGGTCCCTGACAGCTTTTCCTCCCCAAGGGCTCTGCGATCAAGTGCGGCACAGTGCGGTGAAGTGTGGCACAGAGAGGAATGATGGAGGGGAGCGGAGGAGGTTGGGTGTGGGAAGGTTGATAACGCATTGCCTCACATGCATCCCCTGTGCATTGCAGGACCAACCTCGCAGCACCAGCAGTGCATATTCCTGCCAGTGCATATACCTGCAGGGCATGTGTCTGCTCTGCCTGTGTCTTGCAATACAGCACTCACAACTCCCTTAGCTGCCTGAGGCTGCTGATTGCCTCTGGAATGGAGCCTGAAAAGTTGTTCTCCTGGATAGTCCTGATGCATTGAGATGGTTGGGCGGAAACGGGGAGGAGGGAAGTGCAGAGAAGGGAGGGGAATTTTTGGAGAGGGAAGGCTGGAAGGCAGCAATGTAAAGTTGTGTACTGTTAAATGCAACTACTGGAATCCTTACGCGAGCTAGAATGGTATGATGGACTATCCTTAGCGAACTATTTGTGCAGAATAGTTAGGTGAGATAAGAAAGGGGTGACAAGGGCACGTTTTTTTTGGAAAAGCTGTTTGTGTTAGCCCTCAATCTCACATTTTGTGTTTTTTATTTTTTTTTATCCTAGTTTAGTGTAGTTTGCATTTATGTTTAATTGGGTGTACACCCACATCCCAACCAAACCCAAATGTGATCTCCAAGCAATCTCCTACCCACCAATTGGAGAGATTGCCTTGGGATTACCCCCTATCCCTAGGGATTGCCCCCAATTTCCTCCCCATACCTTGCCCATTCTGGTTGTACTTAAGGAGCTTCAAGCTCATTACTAATGTATCAATTCTAAGCTTTATTTCTGACAAAAGGATGTTCGATGGGGCGTGGTGCATAGCAGATGGTGCATGGCAGATGGTGCACGCACAGTGAAGTCAAGTCTGTGAGGCTGAAGATACACGCAGGAAGCTCCCCGGAAAGTTGATGATTCCGGAACAAGTGCCTGATGATGGAAACAGTAAAGGGAGAAGCAGCAGCTATGAGAGGAGCAGTCACGAGGCAAGGAGCAGGGAGGCTGTAGGAAAAAATGGTATGAGGAACCCACGAATAGGTGTGGGAGGATGGGCAAGGTGAAAGTGAAGAGCAAGGAGAAAAAAGAAAGGGGCGAGCATGGCAAGAGCAGGAAGGATGAAATCTCCCTTTCATGCTGCAGTGCCATGCACAACACTTCACATGTCCCTCAGGCTTCCCACATCCGGTAGGGTGCCATCACATGCCATCACATGCCATCACATGCCATCACATGCCATCACATGCCATCACATGCCATCCCATGCCCCTCACCGTCACATCCGGCCTTACAGAGACTGCAGCTTCTGCAGCTGGGAGAGCTGCTCTGGTAGTGACTCGAGTAAGAAGATTTTCTCCAAATGCCTGCTTGCTCCATCCACGCACCATGTATGCACCATGCACGCACCATGTATGCACCATCCACGCACCATGTATGCACCATGCACGCACCATGTATGCACCATGTATGCACCATGCACGCACCATGTATGCACCATGCACGCACCATGTATGCACCATGCACGCACCATGTATGCACCATGCACGCACCATGTATGCACCTTCCATGCACCATGTATGCACCTTCCATGCACCATGTATGCACCATGCACGCACCATGTATGCACCATGCACGCACCATGTATGCACCATGCACGCACCATGTATGCACCATCCATGCACCACAGATGCGGAGGGTTAAGAAACAGATGCGGAGATTCTGAAGGAGAGAAACAAGTGGCAGGAGATGGATTGGAGTGGGGAGCAGCAGACAGTGCAGGTGGGAAGAAAGAGACCATGGCGATGGGGTGTGAGGGGCCAGATGAGGGGCCAGATGGACAGTGCTGCACCCATCACTTGCACTCATTCTCGCACCTCTCACGGTCTCACCCACTCATACACCCACCCACTACACCCACACGTGCTGCACCCCTCCCCCCAAGCACACTCACAGGCGAGTGAGCTGCTGCAGATTGCTGAGCCCTTTGAGATCAATGCGATGGGCTGCGCTGTTGCATGGTGGGGTGGGGGCCATGGCAGGCACGAATAGGAGAAGGAAACGAGAGGAGAGGGCAGGGAGGTGAGAAGGCAGGGAGGGGAGAAAGAGGGGAAGAGGGGAAAAACGGAAGAAGTGGAGTGGATTTGATGTGCCTGAGAAGGGGGGTGCACATGCAGTTAGATTGGAAAAACAAAAGAGGGCGGGTGATGGCAAACAGGCGGAGCAAGGTAGTGTGAAAGGGAGGGCCCGTGACAGAGAGAAGAGCGAGGTGGATGAGAGAAGAGAGAAGAGGGAGGTGCATGAGAGAAGAGAGAAGAAGGAGGTGCGTGGGGGAATGTAGAACTGACATGTTATCCGGGAGCGGGAAAGGGAGATGGAAGCAGTACCTCAAATCCCTGCAGGCCGTGAGCACACGCAAGAATGGGGATCATAGGGGTACGGGAAAAAGGAAGGACACAGGGGTGGGGGGAGAGGCACAAGAGAGGGCCGATGTGGATCAGGCAAGATGAGAGAATAGAAGAGAAGACATGCAAGACAGGGCAAGCCGTGTTCAACCAATCGAATGCAAGACAGTCACCTGCAAGCAAGTCACTACAAGCAAGGGAAAATCAGTGGGGCGGAGTGGGGGTTCGAACGCGTGAAGGCCAGTGGGGAAGACAGAGTGGAAAAGGAGTCTCACAAATCCTTAAGATGGGACAATGCGAAGAGAGCCGTGGGCAGGGAGCCGATGAGGTCGCACCCTGAGGAGGAGAAGCTGTGGGAGGAGAAGGATGGCAGGGAGGGAGGGAGACTCAATGGACCATCCGAGAATAAATCAGTCGACTCCAATACCGGTTTCAAGATGGGAGAAAATGGAATCAAAGTGCAAGGGGAGAATGCAGTTTGTACAGTGCAATGACATGCTTACAGTGCAATGACATGCTTACAGTGCAATGACATTCCCATCGCCATCACAGCGCACGTTCTCAAATTTGTCGCAATCCTCGCCCCTGCTCCACGTCTCCACACCCCGCATATTGTTCCATTCGTGTGCTAGACTCGCCAAAGCGTCCACTGCCATCCATCCACGCCATGCATCCATGCCATCATGCCATGCACCCACGCCGTGCACCCATGCCGTGCACCCATACCGTGCACCCATGCCATGCACCCATGCCATGCACCCATGCCATGCACCCATGCCATGCACCCATGTCATGCACCCATGCCATGCACCCATGCCATGCACCCATGCCATGCACCCATGCCATGCACCCATGCCATGCACCCATGCCATGCACCCATGCCATGCGCCCATGCCGTGCACCCATGCCATGCACCCATGCCATGCACCCATGCCATGCACCCATGCCATGCACCCATGTCATGCACCCATGCCATGCACCCATGCCATGCACCCATGCCATGCACCCATGCCATGCACCCATGCCATGCACCCATGCCATGCACCCATGCCATGCACCCATGCCATGCACCCATGCCATGCACCCATGCCATGCACCCATGCCATGCACCCATGTCATGCACCCATGCCATGCACCCATGCCATGCACCCATGTCATGCACCCATGCCATGCACCCATGCCATGCACCCATGTCATGCACCCATGCCATGCACCCATGCCATACCATCCACGGCAGCATGCCATGGTGCAGAACGGGTTGGAAACATTCCCAGGGGAGGGGCGAGCAGAACAGGGAGAGGGTTGAGGGATGGCAGGAGGGGCAGCAAAGCAATCAGCAGGGATGGCTGTTGCTCGTGCGGGCCTCATGTTGCATGCTGAATCGGGGTACTGTCACGGATGATGCTGACTCAGCTGCACCCTGGGCGGTATCTGGAACACGGCATGGCTGACTTTCAGGGACCTCTGCCTGTCAAAAGGAGAAGGAGGCGGTGGAGGGACGGGAGCGGGCTTACTGTCAGCACGGCTCAACGGCTTACTCTCGGCTCAACGGCTTACTCTCGGCGTCCACCACGGGAGCAGCGCGTGCGAGGGGCATGCAGCAGCGCGCCACCACCAGCGCCACCACCGCCGCTCTCGCCGCCATCAGCACGTCGCCGCGCGTCCACATCGCCGCGGCGCAACCGTCACACCCCATCGATAGTACCGCGCGTGTTGTCGAACCGACACGGCTTGCTTGTTTTCCGCACGCGCTGCCGTCGCCCGAACGCCCTGCACGCGCGCGGCCTTGCCCGCGTGATCCCCGCGCTAAACAGTTCTGCTGGTTTGCGTCTTTCACGAGTCGTGAGCCGTTTGCCTTTTTCACGCAGTGCGTGTGCGCGTTACAGCGCGGGAGATCGAAACTCTTGAGGAAAGTGCAGTGCGGTGGAGGGATGGTGCAATCAACCGGCTTGTTGCTCGGTTGGATGGCGTGGTGCTCGGTTGCTCCATGCAAACTTGTTCCAGATCAAAAACGTGCTTTCTCACCAAATGTCGCCGTTTCTAAACGCACAATATCGCTCCAGACCTTTGCAAACCTTTTACACTGCACAGCATCGTCGGCGTTCTTTGAATTGAAGCCCTGAAGAAATTGAAGACTTGGGCTGACCAATGCGGTTGGTGGTGAGGTCGAGGAGGTGACGGTGCAGAGACGAACGCGTTACAGTAAAACCTCATCAAAACGATTTAGGAGGCGCTGACGAATAGAGCATTGTACCGTATGTGCACAATTTGTCAATGCAATTCATTCCTTTCTGGAAAAAGTCCTAGTACAAGTTTCAACTATCAATAGAGTTGATTTTGGCAGGTAAATTATTACTCTACTAAGCAAACATTCCTGTGCAGCAGTAATTACTTCGACGATGCAAAAACCGTTCTTCCATGGCAGTGAAGTATTCTTGGCAGTCCTGCACTAGCAAGTGATCTCCACATCCAAAGCAGCTTGCCGGGCAGCAAGGGCTCTCTTTGAAAAGAAGTAGCGTGTGGGGGGTCGATTCTTGAGGCGCCTCAGAAACCGTGTCAAGGCCAGCAGCAGCAGCAGCACTGCCAGTGGAAGCAGCAGCAGCAGATTGTGAGGTGCAAGAACATCAGACGAAGCCACCCCAACCACAGCAGAGGCTGGTGGAGGTGAGGGTGTGAGGGAAGGTGCCCTGATGCCACCCCATACGCCCACAGTTGCCGCAGCCGCGCCTCCATCCCCCTCAGCACCACCTGTGGTCCAGGGGGAAGGCGTGAGGAGGCACAAGGGGGTGTGGAATGCGGGGCATGGGGGAGCATTGGTACAAGGGAGTGGCATGGGTTGCAATGGTGCGTGGCACATCAAGCACAAAGAAGGATGTTTGAGAAAAGCGGATGTGATTAGGCATTTGACACGAGCGCATGAGCAAGTGATTGTTGCGCCGTGATGATCCATAAACGAAGGGAGCCTTTTGTGGAGGAGGTATGGGAGAACGTGAAGGGAGAGCAGGTGCACAGCAGCACGATCACACACGATGCTGACGCAGTGTGAGCAGTGGAGTGGAGGGAACCAAGTCCGGCTTGGTTCACTCCACTCCACTCCACTGCCCACACTGAGCAGGTGCGCAGCACCAGGTGCACAGCAGCAGGTGCGCAGCAGCATGTGCGCAGCAGCATGTGCGCAGCAGCAGGTGCTGACTCAGTGTGGGTAGTGGAGTGGAGGGAACCAAGCCGGACTTCCAAGCACGAATGCGGGGGTTCACTTGGGTGGGAGGGATGGCACTGCCACTCTCCCGTGACCCACAGGCAGGAGGAACGAGTCAGGCCTGTGAACCCTTGGGATAGGAAGCATGCATGGCAGCACACAGGCATGGCAGCACACAGGCATGGCAGCACACAGGCATGGCAGCACACAGGCATGGCAGCACACAGGCATGGCAGCACACAGGCATGGCAGCACACAGGCATGGCAGCACACAGGCATGGCAGCACACAGGCATGGCAGCACACAGGCATGGCAGCACACAGGCATGGCAGCACACAGGCATGGCAGCACACAGGCATGGCAGCACACAGGCATGGCAGCACACAGGCATGGCAGCACACAGGCATGGCAGCACACAGGCATGGCAGCACACAGGCATGGCAGCACACAGGCATGGCAGCACACAGGCATGGCAGCACACAGGCATGGCAGCACACAGGCATGGCAGCACACAGGCATGGCAGCACGCAGGCATGGCAGCACACAGGCATGGCAGCACACAGGCATGGCAGCACACAGGCATGGCAGCACACAGGCATGGCAGCACACAGGCATGGCAGCACGCAGGCATGGCAGCACACAGGCATGGCAGCACGCAGGCATGGCAGCCGCAGGCATGGCAGCACGCAGGCATGGCAGCACACAGGCATGGCAGCCGCAGGCATGGCAGCACACAGGCATGGCAGCACACAGGCATGGCAGCACACAGGCATGGCAGCACACAGGCATGGCAGCACAGCAGGCATGGCAGCACACAGGCATGGCAGCACACAGGCATGGCAGCACACAGGCATGGCAGCACACAGGCATGGCAGCACACAGGCATGGCAGCACACAGGCATGGCAGCACGCAGGCATGGCAGCACACAGGCATGGCAGCACGCAGGCATGGCAGCACACAGGCATGGCAGCACACAGGCATGGCAGCACACAGGCATGGCAGCACACAGGCATGGCAGCACACAGGCATGGCAGCACACAGGCATGGCAGCACACAGGCATGGCAGCACACAGGCATGGCAGCACACAGGCATGGCAGCACACAGGCATGGCAGCACACAGGCATGGCAGCACACAGGCATGGCAGCACACAGGCATGGCAGCACACAGGCATGGCAGCACACAGGCATGGCAGCACACAGGCATGGCAGCACACAGGCATGGCAGCACACAGGCATGGCAGCACACAGGCATGGCAGCACACAGGCATGGCAGCACACAGGCATGGCAGCACACAGGCATGGCAGCACACAGGCATGGCAGCACACAGGCATGGCAGCACACAGGCATGGCAGCACACAGGCATGGCAGCACACAGGCATGGCAGCACACAGGCATGGCAGCACGCAGGCATGGCAGCACACAGGCATGGCAGCACACAGGCATGGCAGCACACAGGCATGGCAGCACACAGGCATGGCAGCACACAGGCATGGCAGCACGCAGGCATGGCAGCACACAGGCATGGCAGCACGCAGGCATGGCAGCCGCAGGCATGGCAGCACGCAGGCATGGCAGCACACAGGCATGGCAGCCGCAGGCATGGCAGCACACAGGCATGGCAGCACACAGGCATGGCAGCACACAGGCATGGCAGCACGCAGGCATGGCAGCACACAGGCATGGCAGCACACAGGCATGGCAGCACACAGGCATGGCAGCACACAGGCATGGCAGCACACAGGCATGGCAGCACACAGGCATGGCAGCACGCAGGCATGGCAGCACACAGGCATGGCAGCACGCAGGCATGGCAGCCGCAGGCATGGCAGCACGCAGGCATGGCAGCACACAGGCATGGCAGCACACAGGCATGGCAGCACACAGGCATGGCAGCACACAGGCATGGCAGCACACAGGCATGGCAGCACACAGGCATGGCAGCACACAGGCATGGCAGCACACAGGCATGGCAGCACACAGGCATGGCAGCACACAGGCATGGCAGCACACAGGCATGGCAGCACACAGGCATGGCAGCACGCAGGCATGGCAGCACACAGGCATGGCAGCACACAGGCATGGCAGCACACAGGCATGGCAGCACACAGGCATGGCAGCACACAGGCATGGCAGCACAGCAGGCATGGCAGCACACAGGCATGGCAGCACGCAGGCATGGCAGCACACAGGCATGGCAGCACGCAGGCATGGCAGCACACAGGCATGGCAGCACGCAGGCATGGCAGCACACAGGCATGGCAGCACACAGGCATGGCAGCACACAGGCATGGCAGCACGACAGGCATGGCAGCACACAGGCATGGCAGCACACAGGCATGGCAGCACACAGGCATGGCAGCACACAGGCATGGCAGCACACAGGCATGGCAGCACACAGGCATGGCAGCACACAGGCATGGCAGCACACAGGCATGGCAGCACACAGGCATGGCAGCACACAGGCATGGCAGCACACAGGCATGGCAGCACACAGGCATGGCAGCACACAGGCATGGCAGCACACAGGCATGGCAGCACACAGGCATGGCAGCACACAGGCATGGCAGCACACAGGCATGGCAGCACACAGGCATGGCAGCACACAGGCATGGCAGCACACAGGCATGGCAGCACACAGGCATGGCAGCACACAGGCATGGCAGCACACAGGCATGGCAGCACACAGGCATGGCAGCACACAGGCATGGCAGCACACAGGCATGGCAGCACACAGGCATGGCAGCACACAGGCATGGCAGCACACAGGCATGGCAGCACACAGGCATGGCAGCACACAGGCATGGCAGCACACAGGCATGGCAGCACACAGGCATGGCAGCACACAGGCATGGCAGCACACAGGCATGGCAGCACGCAGGCATGGCAGCACACAGGCATGGCAGCACACAGGCATGGCAGCACACAGGCATGGCAGCACACAGGCATGGCAGCACACAGGCATGGCAGCACGCAGGCATGGCAGCACACAGGCATGGCAGCACGCAGGCATGGCAGCCGCAGGCATGGCAGCACGCAGGCATGGCAGCACACAGGCATGGCAGCCGCAGGCATGGCAGCACACAGGCATGGCAGCACACAGGCATGGCAGCACACAGGCATGGCAGCACGCAGGCATGGCAGCACACAGGCATGGCAGCACACAGGCATGGCAGCACACAGGCATGGCAGCACACAGGCATGGCAGCACACAGGCATGGCAGCACACAGGCATGGCAGCACACAGGCATGGCAGCACACAGGCATGGCAGCACACAGGCATGGCAGCACGCAGGCATGGCAGCACACAGGCATGGCAGCACACAGGCATGGCAGCACACAGGCATGGCAGCACACAGGCATGGCAGCACACAGGCATGGCAGCACACAGGCATGGCAGCACACAGGCATGGCAGCACGCAGGCATGGCAGCACACAGGCATGGCAGCACGCAGGCATGGCAGCACACAGGCATGGCAGCACGCAGGCATGGCAGCCGCAGGCATGGCAGCACGCAGGCATGGCAGCACACAGGCATGGCAGCCGCAGGCATGGCAGCACACAGGCATGGCAGCACACAGGCATGGCAGCCGCAGGCATGGCAGCACACAGGCATGGCAGCACACAGGCATGGCAGCACACAGGCATGGCAGCACGCAGGCATGGCAGCCGCAGGCATGGCAGCACGCAGGCATGGCAGCACACAGGCATGGCAGCCGCAGGCATGGCAGCACACAGGCATGGCAGCACACAGGCATGGCAGCCGCAGGCATGGCAGCACACAGGCATGGCAGCACACAGGCATGGCAGCCGCAGGCATGGCAGCCGCAGGCATGGCAGCACGCAGGCATGGCAGCCGCAGGCATGGCAGCCGCAGGCATGGCAGCACGCAGGCATGGCAGCACGCAGGCATGGCAGCCGCAGGCATGGCAGCACGCAGGCATGGCAGCACACAGGCATGGCAGCCGCAGGCATGGCAGCACACAGGCATGGCAGCACACAGGCATGGCAGCCGCAGGCATGGCAGCACACAGGCATGGCAGCACACAGGCATGGCAGCCGCAGGCATGGCAGCACACAGGCATGGCAGCACACAGGCATGGCAGCCGCAGGCATGGCAGCACACAGGCATGGCAGCACACAGGCATGGCAGCCGCAGGCATGGCAGCACACAGGCATGGCAGCACACAGGCATGGCAGCCGCATGCATGGCAGCACACAGGCATGGCAGCACACAGGCATGGCAGCACGCAGGCACGGCAACAAGCATGCATGGCAGCACGCAGGCATGGCAGCACACAGGCATGGCAGCACACAGGCATGGCAGCACGCAGGCACGGCAACAAGCATGCATGGCAGCACGCAGTCTATGGAAGCCAAGATGCAGCTGGGACGAGCTGGTGGCTGAAAAGGAAGAGGAAAGGAACAAGTCACTAACTAGACATGCACTAGCCAACATGTATACGTGAGAGACGCACGTGCTAGCAGCAGGCATACCTTGAGGCACGCACGTGCCAGCATCAGCCCCTGGCGTGTACCCCTCATCACAGTCGCACTGGCCCTCAAAATCACAGTACGGTGGCGGCGGCTCATACGCATCATCCTCGCAGGCAGCCATGTCGAGAGACGGGTCAGGCACAAAGGAGCACACGCCATGGCCGCTGCACGGCGGGGTGAGCGGCTGCGCCCCACAGAACGCCCGGCACTCGCTGGCTCTCCTCTGGTTATGAGGGAAGCAAAAGATTCCCTCGTCTGCAAGGCAGTTGTGGTCGAACAGACACACGATGTCACGGTCTGAAGGAATGCCTGAGGCATTGTACAGGCCGGCAGCATTCCTTTGGGGGAGGGTCTGCTGTGGCTGTGAGGTAGTTGAGGCGTATAGAGAGTCCGCGTTGGGAAGTGAGGCGGGCCATGTGGTGCAAGGAGGGCAGCTCTCCCGTAAGCTGGTTGCGGTCAAGGTGGCTGTGATGCAAGAGGAAAGTTGGGGGGAGAGAGGTGGGAAGGCAGAGGAGTGGTTGGGAATGGGAGTGTGGGGAAAGATGGAGTGCAGGAAAAGGGGAGTGATGAGACAGGAGTAGGATCTTGAGTCGTCGACTTTTGAGTCGTCAAACCCAACAAATACTCATATGTCAAGCGCTGTGTTGGATCAGACGGGTGTGTCAACGCTCTATGCTTCCTCTCATCATTTCTAAGACGTGGACAGGGCGGTGGGGAGGAGGAAGTGATTCAAAGCATTCAGGGTATGTATGAGACTAACAATGTGGCTCTACAGGTAACACGACCGATGGTAGACTCAGGAGCGGAGAGGGAGTGAGAGGTGTCATGGGAGGAAAGGAACTGCGAGTGGAGTGGATGGCATACATCCAGAAAGGCTGAGTCGTGTTTTGAGTCGACTCAAAACACGAGGAACTGCAAGTGGATGGCATACATCCAGAAAGGCTGACGAGGCCGCCACACTTCAAGTCAAGATGTGGCTGTCTGTCAGCAAGTAGAGAGGGAGAGAGCTGTGGCTGTCTGTCAGCAAGTAGAGAGGGAGAGACGTGTGGGCGACAGGAACGGAGAGACGTGCCAGTCGCAGAAAACGAGCTGCTGCGAGCAGAAAGGGTGGCGTTTCAGAGAGAAGAAGAGATGGGCAGCAGTAGTGCTGACAGTTGTTGGAGATGAGTGCACGCTGGTTTTTGAGAATTCTCAAGAACTGACTGCAGCTGGTGACTGCAGCTGGTGACTGCAGCTGGTGACTGCAGCTGGTGACTGCTGCAGCTGGTGACTGCAGCTGGTGACTTGATAGACATGCCTTTAGAGTCGACTCATCTGAAGGCAATGCAGCCAGGTTGACACCACCAGGTATGTAAGCATAGTCAAAGACACCACCATTCAGGGATGGCACTCATGTGTTGGGACGCCCGAGGAGGTAGCACTGACAGGATTCCGAGATTAGTGAGCGTGGTGATTGCAGCAGGTATCGTCCCTGCAAGGCGATTGTAGCTGAGTTGCCTGAAGACAGACGGGTGGATGAATGGACATGGAGGGAAGGAGGGAAGAAGAGGGGATGAGGTGACGAGGAAGAGACGAAGAAGTGAAGCAGAGGGGAAGAGGAGAAGAGGAGAGGAGGGTAGGAGGAGAGGAGGAGAGGAGAAGTTGAGAAGTGACTAGGAGAGGAGGAGAGGAGGAGAGGAGAAGTGGATAAGTCACAAAGAGAGGAGGTGCCTTGGAAAAGTGTGAGTGCTGTTGCTGAAAGGTGTGTGCCTTGAGAAACACAGAGAAACACACACCTGCAGCAGCAGACGGAATTTAAGACAACAAAAGGTGCCTCCGTACTCTCCTATTCTTGCCCTCGTCTCCCCCCCCTCCCTCCCTCTCCCTCCCTCTCCCTCTCCCTCTCCCTCCCTCTCCCTCCCTCTCCCTCCCTCTCCCTCCCTCTGATTCCGATCCTCATCCTACCCACCCTCTCAAAACCCCGATGCTTGGCAGAGACAGGCAGGCGGAACGAAGGGATCGAGAGGAGGGGGGGGGGGGGGGGGGGGGGGGGGGGAAGTTGAGGGGAGGGAGAATGGGCGCACAGGGAGGTGAGTGCGGTGAGGTGGGCAATGCAGGCGGGAATGGTGCCACTCAGCCTGTTGCTCTTCATCTCCCTGCCATGGCATGGCATGGGATGGCATGGGATGGGATGGGATCAGGCCCGTTGATTGGTCTTGAATCAGGCTGAATAAACAGAGTCCTCACACGAATGTACTCTGGAAATTAGCCAAAAAATGTCATTTTACATAAGAGATTCGCGTAAAACGCTGGTAAATCAGCCCTGGCACAGAAAAAAAAATGCTGAACTTGCATAAAAATGCTGAAATCTGAGGGCCAGGACATGATTCGATGGGATGGGATGGGATGGGATGGACGGGCAGGCCATTAGCCCATAGGGATGCCTCCACTCACTCTCTCACGCACGCATCCGTCATTGAGTCATTCACCCTCTCATCCCCTCACCCACTCACTCACTCACTCACTCACTCACTCACCCACTCACTCACTCACACTTTCACCCACACGTCACTGACTCGCTCACCCTCTCGCGGCCTCTCACTATCCCACTCACTTTCTCACTAAGGGGACCAATCACGCCGGATCATCCCACAGCACCTTCCATGCCTACCCCATCACCACTCACAACTCCTGCAGCTTCTTGAGGCTGCTGATTGCCTCTGGAATGGAGCCGGAAAAGTTGTTGCCCTGGACATTCCTGGAGCATGGAGAGGGTGAGAAGAGGGCAGCGAGGGGAAGGTGGAGAGGGGAAGAGTGGCGAGGAGAAGGTGGAGAGAGGAATAAGAGCCATTGAATGCAGGGAGGTGGAAGACAGGGATGATCAAGGGGAGTATGTAATGTAATGTTCTGACTGCAAAGCATGTGATGCACTGTCTGTACTGGTATGGTAAATCCTGCTAAATAGTGCAAGCAAGGTAAGCTTAGGGTGTAGGGAGAATGGGAGAGAGGGGGGTGAAAGGAGAAAGCGATAGAGGGGGATGGAGCGAGAATGGGAGAGAGAGGGGTGGAGGGAGAATGGGCGCACAGAGTGGTGAGTGCAGTGAGGTGGGCAATGGAGGCGGGAATGGTGCCACTCAGCCTGTTGCAGTGCAACCGCCTGCCGTGAAAAGGCACGGGAGGGCATGGGATGGCATGAAAAGGCATGGCATAGCATGGCATGGAATGGAATGGCATGGCACGGCATGGCGTGGCATGGCGTGGGAAGGCATGGGATGGCATGGGGAGGCATGGGATGGCATGGGATGGCATGGGAAGGCATGGGATGGCATGGGATGGCATGGCGTGGTGTGGCGCATCCAAAGCACTGGGTAGTGGAGGCGGGATGCATAAGAGGAACGCCACTGGAGAAGCTCCAAAAGGGAAATAATAATAGTAATAATAATCATCATCATCATCATCATCATCATCATCATCATCATCATCATCATCATCATCATCATCATCATCATCATCATCATCATCATCATCATCATCATCATCATCGTAATAACAACAGCAACAGCAACAGCAACACAAACGTGATAGCTCTAGCGAAGTTCCGTTGCAAAGGCACAAGGGACATTGGAAAAGGGCTGGAGGCAGTACTAATGCTCTCCTCCACGAAACTCACACGTGCAACTCTTTCCCACAGAGGTTGAGCTGGTAATGTGAGTTGCAGCATCAGGCAACAATCGAATGGACAGCATGACTCAGATAAGAAAGCACTATCACCATCTACTGACATCCCACTATCAACAATGCACATCCCTCCTTACAGATTTTCCAGGTTGGTGAGCGCTCCTATTGACTCGGGGATGGACCCTTTCAGATAAGGCTCCTCAAGGGCTCTGCGATCAAGTGCGAGCAGTGGAAATGGTGCGGTGGAAGTTGGTAACGCATGGTCTCACATGCACCAGCAGTGCATGTGTCTGCAGTAGCAATGCATGTGCCTCGCAATGTGTCTTGCAATGCAAGTGCCTGCAATGCATGTGTCTTGCAGTGCATGTGCTTGGCAATGCACCACTCACAACTCCCTTAGCTGCTTGAGGCTGCTGATTGCCTCTGGAATAGATTCTGAAAAGTGGTTCTCCTTAATAGTCCTGGCGCATTGAGATGGATGCGGGCGGAAAGGGGGAGGAGGGAAGCGCAGAAAGGGGAGGGGACATATTAGAGAGGGGACCCCGGAAGGGAAGTATGGGAAGAGGAGAGAATAGAAGCGGAAAGATGAAAAGGATGTTCGATGGGATGTGATGCATGACATGGGAGATGGTGCACGGCAGATGGTGCACGGCAGATGGTGCACGGCAGATGGTGCACGGCAGATGGTGCACGGCAGATGGTGCACGGCAGATGGTGCACGGCAGATGGTGCATGGCAGATGGTGCACGGCAGATGGTGCACGGCAGATGGTGCACGGCAGATGGTGCACGGCAGATGGTGCACGGCAGATGGTGCATGGCAGATGGTGCACGGCAGATGGTGCACGCAGATGGTGCACGGCAGATGGTGCACGGCAGATGGTGCATGGCAGATGGTGCACGGCAGATGGTGCACGGCAGATGGTGCACGGCAGATGGTGCACGGCAGATGGTGCACGGCAGATGGTGCACGGCAGATGGTGCACGGCAGATGGTGCACGGCAGATGGTGCACGGCAGATGGTGCACGGCAGATGGTGCACGGCAGATGGTGCACGGCAGATGGTGCACGGCAGATGGTGCACGGCAGATGGTGCACGGCAGATGGTGCACGGCAGATGGTGCACGGCAGATGGTGCACGGCAGATGGTGCACGGCAGATGGTGCACGGCAGATGGTGCACGGCAGATGGTGCACGGCAGATGGTGCACGGCAGATGGTGCACGGCAGATGGTGCACGGCAGATGGTGCACGGCAGATGGTGCACGGCAGATGGTGCACGGCAGATGGTGCACGGCAGATGGTGCACGGCAGATGGTGCACGGCAGATGGTGCACGGCAGATGGTGCACGGCAGATGGTGCACGGCAGATGGTGCACGGCAGATGGTGCACGGCAGATGGTGCACGGCAGATGGTGCACGGCAGATGGTGCACGGCAGATGGTGCATCGGCAGATTGGTGCACGGCGCAGATGGTTCACGGCAGCATGGTGCACGGCAGCTGAGTGCACGGCAGATGGTGCCACGGGCAGATGGTGCACCGGCTAGATGGTGCACGGGGCCGGACCATGAGGTGCACCGGCAGCACTGGGTGCAACGGGCAGATGGTATGCACGGCAGATGGTGCACCGGCAGGATGGTTGCAGGCAGCAGATGGTGCACGGGCAGATGTGTGCACGGCAGATGGTGCACGGCAGGATGGTGCACGGCAGGATGGTGCAGCGGCAGCTGGTGCACGGGCAGATGTGTGCACGGCAGATGCGGTGCACGGCAGATTGTGCACGGCAGATGGTGCACGGCAGATGGTGCACGGCAGTATTGGTGCACGGCAGATGGTGCACGGCAGATGGGTGCACGGCAGATGGTGCACGGCAAGATGGTGCACGGCAGATGAGTGCCACGGCTAGATGGTGCACGGCAGACTGGTGCACGGAAGATGGTTGCACGGCAGATGGTGCACGGCCAGCTGGTGCACGGTCAGATGCGTGCACGGCAGATGCAGTGCAACGGCAAGATGTGTGCAACGGCAGATGGTGCACGGCAGATGGTGCACGGCAGATGGTGCACGGCAGATGGTGCACGGCAGATGGTGCACGGCAGATGGTGCACGGCAGATGGTGCACGGCAGATGGTGCACGGCAGATGGTGCACGGCAGATGGTGCACGGCAGATGGTGCACGGCAGATGGTGCACGGCAGATGGTGCACGGCAGATGGTGCACGGCAGATGGTGCACGGCAGATGGTGCACGGCAGATGGTGCACGGCAGATGGTGCACGGCAGATGGTGCACGGCAGATGGTGCACGGCAGATGGTGCACGGCAGATGGTGCACGGCAGATGGTGCACGGCAGATGGTGCACGGCAGATGGTGCACGGCAGATGGTGCACGGCAGATGGTGCACGGCAGATGGTGCACGGCAGATGGTGCACGGCAGATGGTGCACGGCAGATGGTGCACGGCAGATGGTGCACGGCAGATGGTGCACGGCAGATGGTGCACGGCAGATGGTGCACGGCAGATGGTGCACGGCAGATGGTGCACGGCAGATGGTGCACGGCAGATGGTGCACGGCAGATGGTGCACGGCAGATGGTGCACGGCAGATGGTGCACGGCAGATGGTGCACGGCAGATGGTGCACGGCAGATGGTGCACGGCAGATGGTGCACGGCAGATGGTGCACGGCAGATGGTGCACGGCAGATGGTGCACGGCAGATGGTGCACGGCAGATGGTGCACGGCAGATGGTGCACGGCAGATGGTGCACGGCAGATGGTGCACGGCAGATGGTGCACGGCAGATGGTGCACGGCAGATGGTGCACGGCAGATGGTGCACGGCAGATGGTGCACGGCAGATGGTGCACGGCAGATGGTGCACGGCAGATGGTGCACGGCAGATGGTGCACGGCAGATGGTGCACGGCAGATGGTGCATGGCAGATGGTGCACGGCAGATGGTGCACGGCAGATGGTGCACGGCAGATGGTGCACGGCAGATGGTGCACGGCAGATGGTGCACGGCAGATGGTGCACGGCAGATGGGATGGTGCACGGCAGATGGTGCACGGCAGATGGTGCACGGCAGATGGTGCCACGGCAGATGGTGCATGGCAGATGGTGCACTGGCAGATGGTGCACGGCAGATGGTGCACGGCAGATGGTGCACGGCAGATGGTGCACGGCAGATGGTGCACTGGCAGATGGTGCACGGCAGATGGTGCACGGCAGATGGTGCACGGCAGATGGTGCCCGGCAGATGGTGCACGGCAGATGGTGCACGGCAGATGGTGCACGGCAGATGGTGCACGGCAGATGGTGCACGGCAGATGGTGCACGGCAGATGGTGCACGGCAGATGGTGCACGGCAGATGGTGCACGGCAGATGGTGCACGGCAGATGGTGCACGGCAGATGGTGCACGGCAGATGGTGCACGGCAAGGATGGTGCACGGCAGATGGTGCACGGCAGATGGTGCACGGCAGATGGTGCACGGCAGATGGTGCACGGCAGATGGTGCACGGCAGATGGTGCACGGCAGATGGTGCACGGCAGATGGTGCACGGCAGATGGTGCACGGCAGATGGTGCACGGCAGATGGTGCACGGCAGATGGTGCACGGCAGATGGTGCACGGCAGATGGTGCACGGCAGATGGTGCACGGCAGATGGTGCACGGCAGATGGTGCACGGCAGATGGTGCACGGCAGATGGTGCACGGCAGATGGTGCACGGCAGATGGGCACGGCAGATGGTGCACGGCAGATGGTGCACGGCAGATGGTGCACGGCAGATGGTGCACGGCAGATGGTGCACGGCAGATGGTGCACGGCAGATGGTGCACGGCAGATGGTGCACGGCAGATGGTGCACGGCAGATGGTGCACGGCAGATGGTGCACGGCAGATGGTGCACGGCAGATGGTGCACGGCAGATGGTGCACGGCAGATGGTGCACGGCAGATGGTGCACGGCAGATGGTGCACGGCAGATGGTGCACGGCAGATGGTGCACGGCAGATGGTGCACGGCAGATGGTGCACGGCAGATGGTGCACGGCAGATGGTGCACGGCAGATGGTGCACGGCAGATGGTGCACGGCAGATGGTGCACGGCAGATGGTGCACGGCAGATGGTGCACGGCAGATGGTGCACGGCAGATGGTGCACGGCAGATGGTGCACGGCAGATGGTGCACTGGCAGATGGTGCACGGCAGATGGTGCACGGCAGATGGTGCACGGCAGATGGTGCACGGCAGATGGTGCACGGCAGATGGTGCACGGCAGATGGTGCACGGCAGATGGTGCACGGCAGATGGTGCACGGCAGATGGTGCACGGCAGATGGTGCACGGCAGATGGTGCACGGCAGATGGTGCACGGCAGATGGTGCACGGCAGATGGTGCACGGCAGATGGTGCACGGCAGATGGTGCACGGCAGATGGTGCACGGCAGATGGTGCACGGCAGATGGTGCACGGCAGATGGTGCACGGCAGATGGTGCACGGCAGATGGTGCACGGCAGATGGTGCACGGCAGATGGTGCACGGCAGATGGTGCACGGCAGATGGTGCACGGCAGATGGTGCACGGCAGATGGTGCACGGCAGATGGTGCACGGCAGATGGTGCACGGCAGATGGTGCACGGCAGATGGTGCACGGCAGATGGTGCACGGCAGATGGTGCACGGCAGATGGTGCACGGCAGATGGTGCACGGCAGATGGTGCACGGCAGATGGTGCACGGCAGATGGTGCACGGCAGATGGTGCATGGCAGATGGTGCACGGCAGATGGTGCACGGCAGATGGTGCACGGCAGATGGTGCACGGCAGATGGTGCACGGCAGGATGGTGCACGGCAGATGGTGCACGGCAGATGGTGCACGGCAGATGGTGCACGGCAGATGGTGCACGGCAGATGGTGCACGGCAGATGGTGCACGGCAGATGGTGCACGGCAGATGGTGCACGGCAGATGGTGCACGGCAGATGGTGCACTGGCAGATGGTGCACGGCAGATGGTGCACGGCAGATGGTGCACGGCAGATGGTGCACGGCAGATGGTGCACGGCAGATGGTGCACGGCAGATGGTGCACGGCAGATGGTGCACGGCAGATGGTGCACGGCAGATGGTGCACGGCAGATGGTGCACGGCAGATGGTGCATGGCAGATGGTGCACGGCAGATGGTGCACGGCAGATGGTGCACGGCAGATGGTGCACGGCAGATGGTGCACGGCAGATGGTGCACGGCAGATGGTGCACGGCAGATGGTGCACGGCAGATGGTGCACGGCAGATGGTGCACGGCAGATGGTGCACGGCAGATGGTGCACGGCAGATGGTGCACTGGCAGATGGTGCACGGCAGATGGTGCACGGCAGATGGTGCACGGCAGATGGTGCACGGCAGATGGTGCACGGCAGATGGTGCACGGCAGATGGTGCACGGCAGATGGTGCATGGCAGATGGTGCACGGCAGATGGTGCACGGCAGATGGTGCATGGCAGATGGTGCATGGCAGATGGTGCATGGCAGATGGTGCATGGCAGATGGTGCATGGCAGATGGAGCATGGCAGATGGTGCACGGCAGATGGTGCACGGCAGATGGTGCATGGCAGATGGTGCATGGCAGATGGTGCATGGCAGATGGTGCATGGCAGATGGTGCACGGCAGATGGTGCATGGCAGATGGTGCATGGCAGATGGTGCACGGCAGATGGTGCATGGCAGATGGTGCATGGCAGATGGTGCATGGCAGATGGTGCACGGCAGATGGTGCACGGCAGATGGTGCATGGCAGATGGTGCATGGCAGATGGTGCATGGCAGATGGTGCACGGCAGATGGTGCACGGCATGGCAGATGGTGCATGGCAGATGGTGCATGGCAGATGGTGCATGGCAGATGGTGCATGGCAGATGGTGCATGGCAGATGGTGCATGGCAGATGGTGCATGGCAGATGGTGCATGGCAGATGGTGCATGGCAGATGGTGCATGGCAGATGGTGCATGGCAGATGGTGCATGGCAGATGGTGCATGGCAGATGGTGCATGGCAGATGGTTGCATGGCAGATGGTGCATGGCAGATGGTGCATGGCAGATGGTGCATGGCAGATGGTGCATGGCAGATGGTGCATGGCAGATGGTGCATGGCAGATGGTGCATGGCAGATGGTGCATGGCAGATGGTGCATGGCAGATGGTGCATGGCAGATGGTGCATGGCAGATGGTGCATGGCAGATGGTGCATGGCAGATGGTGCATGGCAGATGGTGCATGGCAGATGGTGCATGGCAGATGGTGCATGGCAGATGGTGCATGGCAGATGGTGCATGGCAGATGGTGCATGGCAGATGGTGCATGGCAGATGGTGCATGGCAGATGGTGCATGGCAGATGGTGCATGGCAGATGGTGCATGGCAGATGGTGCATGGCAGATGGTGCATGGCAGATGGTGCATGGCAGATGGTGCATGGCAGATGGTGCATGGCAGATGCTGCATGGCAGATGCTGCATGGCAGATGCTGCATGGCAGATGGTGCATGGCAGATGGTGCATGGCAGATGGTGCATGGCAGATGGTGCATGGCAGATGGTGCATGGCAGATGGTGCATGGCAGATGGTGCATGGCAGATGGTGCATGGCAGATGGTGCATGGCAGATGGTGCATGGCAGATGGTGCATGGCAGATGGTGCATGGCAGATGGTGCATGGCAGATGGTGCATGGCAGATGGTGCATGGCAGATGGTGCATGGCAGATGGTGCATGGCAGATGGTGCATGGCAGATGGTGCATGGCAGATGGTGCATGGCAGATGGTGCATGGCAGATGGTGCATGGCAGATGGTGCATGGCAGATGGTGCATGGCAGATGGTGCATAGCAGATGGTGCATAGCAGATGGTGCATGGCAGATGGTGCATGGCAGATGGTGCATGGCAGATGGTGCATAGCAGATGGTGCATAGCAGATGGTGCATAGCAGATGGTGCATAGCAGATGGTGCATAGCAGATGGTGCATAGCAGATGGTGCATAGCAGATGGTGCATGGCAGATGGTGCATAGCAGATGGTGCATGGCAGATGGTGCATAGCAGATGGTGCATGGCAGATGGTGCATAGCAGATGGTGCATAGCAGATGGTGCATAGCAGATGGTGCATAGCAGATGGTGCATAGCAGATGGTGCATAGCAGATGGTGCATGGCAGATGGTGCATAGCAGATGGTGCATGGCAGATGGTGCATAGCAGATGGTGCATAGCAGATGGTGCATAGCAGATGGTGCATAGCAGATGGTGCATAGCAGATGGTGCATAGCAGATGGTGCATAGCAGATGGTGCATAGCAGATGGTGCATAGCAGATGGTGCATAGCAGATGGTGCATGGCAGATGGTGCATAGCAGATGGTGCATAGCAGATGGTGCATAGCAGATGGTGCATGGCAGATGGTGCATGGCAGATGGTGCATAGCAGATGGTGCATAGCAGATGGTGCATAGCAGATGGTGCATAGCAGATGGTGCATAGCAGATGGTGCATGGCAGATGGTGCATGGCAGATGGTGCATGGCAGATGGTGCATAGCAGATGGTGCATAGCAGATGGTGCATAGCAGATGGTGCATAGCAGATGGTGCATAGCAGATGGTGCATAGCAGATGGTGCATAGCAGATGGTGCATAGCAGATGGTGCATAGCAGATGGTGCATAGCAGATGGTGCATAGCAGATGGTGCATAGCAGATGGTGCATAGCAGATGGTGCATGGCAGATGGTGCATAGCAGATGGTGCATGGCAGATGGTGCATAGCAGATGGTGCATAGCAGATGGTGCATAGCAGATGGTGCATAGCAGATGGTGATAGGCATAGCAGATGGTGCATAGCAGATGGTGCATAGCAGATGGTGCATAGCAGATGGTGCATAGCAGATGGTGCATGGCAGATGGTGCATGGCAGATGGTGCATGGCAGATGGTGCATGGCAGATGGTGCATAGCAGATGGTGCATAGCAGATGGTGCATGGCAGATGGTGCATAGCAGATGGTGCATAGCAGATGGTGCATGGCAGATGGTGCATGGCAGATGGTGCATGGCAGATGGTGCATGGCAGATGGTGCATAGCAGATGGTGCATAGCAGATGGTGCATGGCAGATGGTGCATGGCAGATGGTGCATGGCAGATGGTGCATAGCAGATGGTGCATAGCAGATGGTGCATAGCAGATGGTGCATAGCAGATGGTGCATAGCAGATGGTGCATAGCAGATGGTGCATAGCAGATGGTGCATGGCAGATGGTGCATAGCAGATGGTGCATGGCAGATGGTGCATAGCAGATGGTGCATAGCAGATGGTGCATGGCAGATGGTGCATAGCAGATGGTGCATAGCAGATGGTGCATGGCAGATGGTGCATGGCAGATGGTGCATGGCAGATGGTGCATGGCAGATGGTGCATAGCAGATGGTGCATAGCAGATGGTGCATGGCAGATGGTGCATGGCAGATGGTGCATGGCAGATGGTGCATAGCAGATGGTGCATAGCAGATGGTGCATAGCAGATGGTGCATGGCAGATGGTGCATAGCAGATGGTGCATAGCAGATGGTGCATAGCAGATGGTGCATAGCAGATGGTGCATAGCAGATGGTGCATAGCAGATGGTGCATGGCAGATGGTGCATAGCAGATGGTGCATGGCAGATGGTGCATAGCAGATGGTGCATAGCAGATGGTGCATAGCAGATGGTGCATAGCAGATGGTGCATAGCAGATGGTGCATGGCAGATGGTGCATGGCAGAAGGTGCATGGCAGATGGTGCATAGCAGATGGTGCATAGCAGATGGTGCATAGCAGATGGTGCATAGCAGATGGTGCATAGCAGATGGTGCATAGCAGATGGTGCATAGCAGATGGTGCATAGCAGATGGTGCATAGCAGATGGTGCATAGCAGATGGTGCATAGCAGATGGTGCATAGCAGATGGTGCATAGCAGATGGTGCATAGCAGATGGTGCATAGCAGATGGTGCATGGCAGATGGTGCATAGCAGATGGTGCATAGCAGATGGTGCATAGAAGATGGTGCATGGCAGATGGTGCATGGCAGATGGTGCATAGCAGATGGTGCATAGCAGATGGTGCATAGCAGATGGTGCATAGCAGATGGTGCATAGCAGATGGTGCATAGCAGATGGTGCATAGCAGATGGTGCATAGCAGATGGTGCATGGCAGATGGTGCATAGCAGATGGTGCATAGCAGATGGTGCATAGCAGATGGTGCATAGCAGATGGTGCATAGCAGATGGTGCATAGCAGATGGTGCATGGCAGATGGTGCATGGCAGATGGTGCATAGCAGATGGTGCATAGCAGATGGTGCATAGCAGATGGTGCATAGCAGATGGTGCATGGCAGATGGTGCATAGCAGATGGTGCATAGCAGATGGTGCATGGCAGATGGTGCATGGCAGATGGTGCATAGCAGATGGTGCATGGCAGATGGTGCATAGCAGATGGTGCATAGCAGATGGTGCATAGAAGATGGTGCATGGCAGATGGTGCATGGCAGATGGTGCATGGCAGATGGTGCATGGCAGATGGTGCATGGCAGATGGTGCATAGCAGATGGTGCATAGCAGATGGTGCATAGCAGATGGTGCATAGCAGATGGTGCATAGCAGATGGTGCATGGCAGATGGTGCATAGCAGATGGTGCATAGCAGATGGTGCATAGCAGATGGTGCATAGCAGATGGTGCATAGCAGATGGTGCATAGCAGATGGTGCATGGCAGATGGTGCATGGCAGATGGTGCATGGCAGATGGTGCATGGCAGATGGTGCATAGCAGATGGTGCATAGCAGATGGTGCATAGCAGATGGTGCATAGCAGATGGTGCATGGCAGATGGTGCATAGCAGATGGTGCATAGCAGATGGTGCATGGCAGATGGTGCATGGCAGATGGTGCATAGCAGATGGTGCATAGCAGATGGTGCATGGCAGATGGTGCATGGCAGATGGTGCATGGCAGATGGTGCATGGCAGATGGTGCATAGCAGATGGTGCATAGCAGATGGTGCATAGCAGATGGTGCATAGCAGATGGTGCATAGCAGATGGTGCATAGCAGATGGTGCATGGCAGATGGTGCATAGCAGATGGTGCATAGCAGATGGTGCATAGCAGATGGTGCATAGCAGATGGTGCATAGCAGATGGTGCATAGCAGATGGTGCATAGCAGATGGTGCATAGCAGATGGTGCATAGCAGATGGTGCATGGCAGATGGTGCATAGCAGATGGTGCATAGCAGATGGTGCATAGCAGATGGTGCATGGCAGATGGTGCATGGCAGATGGTGCATAGCAGATGGTGCATAGCAGATGGTGCATAGCAGATGGTGCATAGCAGATGGTGCATAGCAGATGGTGCATAGCAGATGGTGCATAGCAGATGGTGCATAGCAGATGGTGCATAGCAGATGGTGCATAGCAGATGGTGCATAGCAGATGGTGCATGGCAGATGGTGCATGGCAGATGGTGCATGGCAGATGGTGCATGGCAGATGGTGCATGGCAGATGGTGCATGGCAGATGGTGCATGGCAGATGGTGCATGGCAGATGGTGCATGGCAGATGGTGCATGGCAGATGGTGCATGGCAGATGGTGCATGGCAGATGGTGCATGGCAGATGGTGCATGGCAGATGGTGCATGGCAGATGGTGCATGGCAGATGGTGCATGGCAGATGGTGCATGGCAGATGGTGCATGGCAGATGGTGCATGGCAGATGGTGCATGGCAGATGGTGCATGGCAGATGGTGCATGGCAGATGGTGCATGGCAGATGGTGCATGGCAGATGGTGCATGGCAGATGGTGCATGGCAGATGGTGCATGGCAGATGGTGCATGGCAGATGGTGCATGGCAGATGGTGCATGGCAGATGGTGCATGGCAGATGGTGCATGGCAGATGGTGCATGGCAGATGGTGCATGGCAGACGGTGCATGGCAGCACGCACAGTGAAGTCAAGTCTGTGAGGCTGAAGATCCACGCAGGCAGCTCTGTGGACAGATGATGATCCGACACGTGCCTGACGATGGAAACAGCAGTCATGAGAGGAGCAAGAAAGATGTAGGGAAGAGGGTATGAGGAACCCACGAATAGGCGTGGGAGGATGAGCAAGGTGAAAACGACGAGCAAGGTAAGAGCAGGGGGCATGAGAATTTCCCTGACATGCTGCAGTGCCATGCACAACACTTCACATGCCCTTCAGGCTTCGCACATCCGGTAGGGTGCCATCACATGCCATCACATGCCATCACATGCCATCACATGCCCCTCACCCGGCCTTACAGAGACTGCAGCTTGTGCAGCTGGGAGAGCTGCTCTGGTAGTGACTCGAGAAAATAGTTCATCGACAAATGTCTGCTTGCACCATGCACGCACCATGCATCCACGATGCATGCAACATGCATGCACCACGTACGCACCATCCATGCACCAAGCATGAAACATCCATGCACCACGGATGTGGAGGGTTAAGAAATATCGGAGGGTGCTGCAGGGGAGAGGGGGCTGTTGACGAGAGGAGCTGAAGAAAAGAAACGAGTGACAGGAGACGGATTGGAGTGGGGAGCAGCAAGCAGTGCAGGTGGGGAGCAGCAAGCAGTGCAGGTGGGGAGCAGCAAGCAGTGCAGGTGGGGAGCAGCAAGCAGTGCAGGTGGGGAGCAGCAAGCAGTGCAGGTGGGGAGCAGCAAGCAGTGCAGGTGGGGAGCAGCAAGCAGTGCAGGTGGGGAGCAGCAAGCAGTGCAGGTGGGGAGCAGCAAGCAGTGGGGTTTGGGGGGCCAGATGGGGTTTGAGGGGCCAGATGGGGTTTGAGGGGCCAGATGGGGTTTGAGGGGCCAGATGGGGTTTGAGGGGCCAGATGGGGTGTGAGGGGCCAGATGGGGTGTGAGGGGCGAGATGGGGTGTGAGGGGCGAGATGGGGTTTGAGGGGCCAGATGGGGTTTGAGGGGCCAGATGGGGTTTGAGGGGCCAGATGGGGTGTGAGGGGCCAGATGGGGTTTGAGGGGCCAGATGGGGTGTGAGGGGCCAGATGGGGTTTGAGGGGCCAGATGGGGTTTGAGGGGCCAGATGGGGTTTGAGGGGCCAGATGGGGTTTGAGGGGCCAGATGGGGTTTGAGGGGCCAGATGGGGTTTGAGGGGCCAGATGGGGTTTGAGGGGCCAGATGGGGTTTGAGGGGCCAGATGGGGTGTGAGGGGCCAGATGGGGTGTGAGGGGCCAGACGGGGTGTGAGGGGCCAGATGGGGTTTGAGGGGCCAGATGGGGTTTGAGGGGCCAGATGGGGTTTGAGGGGCCAGATGGGGTTTGAGGGGCCAGATGGGGTTTGAGGGGCCAGATGGGGTTTGAGGGGCCAGATGGGGTTTGAGGGGCCAGATGGGGTTTGAGGGGCCAGATGGGGTTTGAGGGGCCAGATGGGGTGTGAGGGGCCAGATGGGGTGTGAGGGGCCAGATGGGGTGTGAGGGGCCAGATGGGGTTTGAGGGGCCAGATGGAGTTTGAGGGGCCAGATGGGGTTTGAGGGGCCAGATGGGGTTTGAGGGGCCAGATGGGGTTTGAGGGGCGAGATGGGGTTTGAGGGGCCAGATGGGGTTTGAGGGGCGAGATGGGGTTTGAGGGGCCAGATGGGGTTTGAGGGGCCAGATGGACAGACATGCAGTAGATTTACAGTCCACTTACCTCCGTCACTTACACTCATGCTCTCACCTCAGTCATTCACCTACCTCTCACCCACCCACTCACTCCCCCCCACCTGTTACTACATCCCCCCTCCCCCCAAGCGCACTGACAGGCGGGTGAGCTGCTGCAGATTGCCCAGCTCTTGCGGAACGGAAGCTTTGAGATTGCTGTGAGGGGCGGTGCTGCTGCATTGATGGGCCGTGGCAGGCAGGCATGGGGGAGAGAAGGGAAGACGGCAGGGAGGGGAGAGGGCAGGGAGGGGAGAAAGAGGGGAAGAGGGGAAAGAGGGAGGAAGTGGGTTGGATATGATGTGCTTGAGAGGGGCGTCAGCGGTAGGCATGCAGTTTGGCATGCAGTTGGGCATGCACATGCAGGTAGATTGGGGAAAGAAAAGAGGGCGGCTGATGGAAAACAGGTGGACCTCGGTAGTGCGACAGAGAGAAGAGAGAAGAGGGAGGCGCATGGGGGAATGTGGAACTGACAGGCCCATGGGAGAGGACAGGCTGCCTAGGGTATCGGGGAGTGAGCGAGGGAGCGAGCGAGGGAGATGAAAGCACGCCCTCATATCCCTGCAGGCAGCCAGCACAAGCAAAGATGGTGAAGGGGCATTAGAATAGAAGCATGGGTGGGTGGATGGATGGAGATGATAGGGGAAAGGGAAAAAGGAAGGACACCAACCAAGCAAGAATAATTCAAGACAAGCAAGGACAATTCATTACAAGCAAGGGCAATTCATTACAAGCAAGGGAAATTCATTACACGCAAGGGCACGACAAGCAAGGACGATTTAATACAAGAAAGAACGATTCATTACAAGCAAGGAAGATTCAAATCAAGCAAGGAAAATTCATCAAAAGCATGGACAATTTATTAAAAGCAAGGACAATTTAATACAAGCAAGTACAACTCATTAGAAGCAAGGGCAAGTCAGTGGGGGAAAGTGGGGGATCGAACGCGTGAAGGCCAGTGGGGAAGGGAGAGTGAAAAAGGAGCCTCACAGAGTCTTGAGATGGGACAATGCGAGGAGAGCCGTGGGAAGGGGGCCGACGAGGCTACCCTTGCACCCTACGATGAAGCTGTTTGAGGAAAAGGATGGCAGGGAGGGCGGAAGGACTGAAGTAAAATCAAGTACCTGTTTCCCAGATGCGAAGCAAACGGAATCAAAGTGCAAGGGGACAAAGTAGGGTGACATGCATACAGTGCAATGATATGCTTACAGTGCAATGATATGCCCATCGCCATCACACTCCACGGCATCCATGCTGTCGCAGTCCCTGCCCCTCATCCATGTGCTTGTACCGCTGATTTGGTTCCATTCGCGTGCCAGGCTCGCCAAAGCGCCCACTGCCATGCACCCATGCCATGCACCCATGCCATGCACCCATGCCATGCACCCATGCCATGCACCCATGCCATGCACCCATGCCATGCACCCACGCCGTGCACCCATGCCATGCACCCATGCCATGCACTCATGCCATGCACCCACGCCATGCACTTACGCCGTGCACCCATGCGATACCCCCATGCCATGCACCCATGCCATACCACACAAGGCCGCATGTCCTCCCACATCACATGTTGGAAACATTCCCAGGGGAGGGGCGAGAGGAAGAGGGGAAGGGAAGAGGGATGGATGGAGGTGGGTATTGCAGGAGGGGCAGTGCCACCAGCAGTGATGGTTGTTGCTGGTACAGAGTTCATGCTGCATGCTGAATCGGGTTACTCTCACGGATGATCCTGACTCAGCTGCACCTGCACCCTGGACGGTATGGTGCACAGCATGGCTGACTGCCATGGCAGGGACCTCTGTCTGTCAAAAGGAGGTGGAGGTGGAGGGACGAGAGCGTGCGGGCTTACTGTCAGCGGGCTTACTGTCAGCGGGCTTACTGTCAGCGGGCTGGTTTTTGAGAATTCTAAAAAACCAGCTCGTATCATATGATCTCCCATTTCCTCGTTTTTTACTCGCTTGGAAGTTACCAAAAAAGTTACAGAACTTTTTTGTTAAAGCGAGATTCTCCTCAAGGTAGCAATGTGATTCAATTTCTCTGCCAGGTGGGTACTCGCTGCATGACAAGACGGAACCTGCTTGCCAGCTTTGCTGTTTGGAAGGGCGACCCATCAAGACGGACGAAGCGCGACCCATCAAGACAGACGAGGCGCCAAGCAATGTTGTGTGCAATGTCTGAATCTTTGTACTAGGTTTCTTATTAGACACGGAACTGCTAGGTACAAGTAGTGGTTGCTAGGTAGCGGGCAAGTTTAGTAGGATTCGGAAACGCCGATGAAGGCCCACAAAGCCGAAACGCGCGTACGTTTTCTGAACCACTTGTAATCTGCCTTTTAATACTACTACGCTTACCTACACGTGTTCTCGCCTAGTACTCAGTGAATTTTTCTACTCAGATTAGTTAGGTCGGTCGAACCGAGCTTGCAGCTTTCTATCCGTTTCCTTCGTTTGAGGGCTTACTGTCAGCGGGCTTACTGTCAGCGTCCAGAACGGGAGCAGCGCGTGCAGGTTACGGTCCTGGGGCAGTATGGCGCACGGGAGGACTTACTGTCAGGGACCACGGCCTGTCAAAAGGAGGAGGTGGAGGGACGACAATGGGTCCCGCACAGCTCACTGTCAGCGTGCATCACGGCTTACTCTCGGCTGAACGGCTTACTCTCGGCTGAACGGCTTACTCTCGGCGTCCACCACGGGAGCAGCGCGTGCGAGGGGCATGCAGCAGCGCGCCACCACCAGCGCCACCACCGCCGCTCTCGCCGCCATCATCACGCCGCGGCGCGTCCCCATCGCCGCGCCACAACAGTGACACCCCATCGATAGTACCGCGCGCGTTGTCGGGCCGTGTGCTTGTTTGCCGCACGCGCTGCCGTCGCCCGAACGCCCTGCACGCACGCGGCCTTGCCCGCGTGAACTGTGCGGTGGACAGTTCTGCTGCTATTGCTTCTTCACGAGCCGTGAGCCGTCTGCGTGTGCGCGTTTGCAGCGTGGGAGATCGAGAATCTTAGAGCAAAACGGGATCTCTTAGCCGTTTCTGGAGGAGTTGACTCCAGCTGCTACCAAAGGGCGAGTAAAGCGGATACCTAATTTCGTGCATTATTTCGTGCATTTTGTCTTTCGCGGGAGTCTCGGGAAACACTGACATGGGGAAGGTGCAGTGTGATGGAGCACTCAACCAGCTGGTGCCACGCTGTGTTGCTCGGTTGGATGGTGTTGTGCTCGGTTGCTCCACGCAGACCTGCTCTTGATCAAAAGCTCGCTTCCTCACCAGATCTCGCCGTTTTATAACCGACAGAAACGCTCCGAAACTATGCAAAACCGTGTACAGCGTCGGTGATATTTGAATCAAAGCCCTGAAGAAATTGAAGACTTCGGCTGACCAATGTGGTTGGTGGCGAGGTCGAGAAAAACGAGATGGTGGAGAGAGAAACGCGTTACAGTAGAACTTCCGTTAAAGAGGTTTAGGATTTCCTAACTTTGTGTCAGTATACCACCAATCTTCAACAATTGGCATTCCATATCAAGATGTCGTCCAAGTCGCTCCCTGGCTGTTATCGGAAAAGCTGCAACAGTGGATTCAATTGCTGAAGAGTCCTGTCTTCGATATACATGAGTACAATCACGACATGCATTCATTACAACTTGCATAAGCGAAGTATGTACATGAATAAAAATAATATCCAAGTGGTAGCTACTACATATTTTAGTAAGGATTATAAAATCGGCGAGGGATACTACTCTAGGAGGCAACCAGGATTGGACACCCAACAAGACCTCATATTCGTTTTAGACTCATCAGGCTCACATGGCATTGTAACCTAGCAAATAGTAATTGCTGGGTGGCTGTAATTTATTGGAAGAGATTACCAAGAAATCCGTTTGGAAGATACCGGTATTAGAAAACATTTCGTCGTGGAAGTGAACCCTTAGCAATCCTGCACTAGCAATTGATCTCCACACCTGTGGCAGGATGCCGGGCAGCAATGGCTCTCTTTGAAAAGAAGTAGCGTGTGGGGGATCGATTCTTGAGACGCCTCAGAAACTGCGGCAGTTTGACAGCCAACAGCAGCAGCACCGCCAGTGGAAGCAGCAGCAGAAGAGGCAGCAGCAGCAGCAGCAGAGGTGACTGGTGAGAAGACAGAGTCACCCCCACGACTGCAGTGCTTGGCGGTTCAGACGGTGAGTTGTGGAAAGAGAGAGTGGAGGGCATTGGTGCCTGATTCAGAGGGTGGGATGGTGAAGTTAGAGCCACCCCCATGGCTGCAGTGTCTGGCGGTTCAGATGATGGGTTGGTGCCTGCAGGGTGCATGAGGGAAAGGGGGAAGGGCGGGAGGAGCGGATGCAGGTAAAGAAGGAGCATAGTGAAGTGCAGAATGTAAGCGGAGACGGACGCAGCAGTGGACTGAAGTTGGCATGTAAAGAAAGCTGGTAGGGATAAGGGCAGTGCGGTCTTGATGGGTGTGGGTGAGTGCATTGTCCCACAAAACCAACAGACACAACCTGCAGCCCAACAGCGACTGCTGTGCTTATGTGATGGAGAGGGGAGCATACACGGCAAGTGGAGGAGCGAGAGTGACACTACACGGCACGAGCAGGCCGGTGGAACCCATGGGGTATGTGTGGGATAGCAAGCTGGCATGTTGGCAAGCAGGCATGTCGCCAAGCAGGCATGTTGTCCCCCGGAAAGGAACAGAAGAAAAAAGCAGGCACCAGCAAGCGAGGGCATTCAGCAGCATGCGTACCGTGAGGGACGCACGTGCCAGCCTTTGTCCCTGGCGTGTACCCCTCATCACAGACGCAATGGCCCTTGGGTCCACTGTAGGGTGGCGGCTGCTGATCGTCATGGTCACCGTGACAGGCCAACGCCGTTCCATCTTCGTAAGAGGGGTCCGGCTCGAAGGAGCACACGCCATGGCCGCTGCACGGCGGGGTGAGCGGCTGCGCCCCACAGAACGCCCGGCACTCGCTGGCTCTCCTCTGGTTCTGCCAACAGTTGCAGGAGAGTGTGTTGTTGTTGTTGTTCCCAAGGCAATTGTGGTCGAACCAACACACACTGTGGTAGTATAAAGGATCCTCTTGGCTGGTAGCGTTGAAAGAGAGAGGGTCTGCTGTGGATGTGAGGTAGTTGTGGTCTGCTGACAGTCCGCGTTGCGAAGTGAGATGGGCCATGTGGTGGAAGGAGGGCAGCTCTCCCGTAAGCTGGTTGTGGTCAAGGTGGCTGTGATGCCATGGGAAGGTGGGAGCGGGAGAGGTGGGAATGCAGAGGAGTGGTTGGGAATGGGAGTGTGGGGAAAGATGGAGTGCAGGAAAAGTGGAGCGATGAGACAAGAGTAGGATCTTGAGTCGTCGACTTTTGAGGGCGTATTCCTGACTTTGTGTCAAGAACCAGTTGGTGTCAAACCATATCTTTGGAGCGCACGTGATTGGCTAGTTGTGATTTTTTATCAATCGCCATGCGTTCCAAGATTCTAGGTTGACACAAACACAGCTTGACACGAAGCCAGGTCAAACCCAACAAATACTCATATGTCAGCGTTGTGTTGGATCAGACGGGTGTGTTAAGCTCTGTGCTTCCCTTCATGTTTATTTAGGCATGGACAGGGCTCTTAGGAGGAGGAAGAATTCTAAATGCATCCAAGTAAGAGCAAGAAAGGGCTTTACAGGAACGACTGGTAGATTCGGGAGAGGAAAGTAAGTGGTGTATGGGAGTAGGTGGAGTAATGGGAGTGGGTGGATCTATGGGAGTGGGAGGAGTTATGGGAGTGGGAGGAGTTATGGGAGTGGGAGGAGTTATGGATGATGAGGTTGCCACCCTTCAAGTCAATGCGGCCTTCAGCAAGTAGAAAGGAAGAGATGTGTGGGCGGCAGAAAGGAAACCAGCTGCTGCGAGCAGTAGGGGTGGCGTCTCAAAGAGAAGAAGAGGTGTGTAGCAGTACTGCTCAATAAATCTGATAAACGCTCTAATCTATCTGCTCCCCTCATATTCCACACTCCGTTCGAATGCAGTAACTGGGAATAACCTTTAAGTTTATGGTAGTTCAGGGTGGGTAGCCCCTCGAGTTGGCGAAAAAAATGCCGTAATCGAAATGTGTTGCAGGGTCTGCTTAAACGTTACACCCCTTCGCATTCGCCAGACCCGACCATTTGGTCGGCTTTTAGGCCTGGTCGGTACAACGTTACATGCCCTAACACTGACAGGTACTCGAGATTTGTGAGCGTGGTGATTGCAGCAGGTATCGTCCCCGCAAGTCGATTGACATCGAGTTTCCTGATGACAGGTGGATGGGCATGTAGGGAACGAGGGAAGAAGAGGGGATGAGGTTATGAGGAAGAGGGGAAGAAGGGAGGAGGTGAAGGGGAGAAGAGGAGAAGAGGGTAGGAGAGAAGGAGAGAAAACGTGCAGTGGAAGGCTGTACCTGCGTAAAAAGACTGAAATCTGAGAGCCTCGATATGATTGGATGGGATGGAATGGGATTGAATGGGATGGACGGGCAGGCCATTAGCCCGTAGGGTTGCCTCCACTCACTCTCTCATCCCCTCACCCACTCACTCACTCACACTTACACCCACACGTCACTGACTTGCCCACCCTCTCTTGGCCTCTCACTCTCCCACTCACTTGCTCACTGAGGGGGACCTATCATGCCTACCCCATCAGCACTCACAAGCTTTCTAGCTGCTTGAGGCGGCTGATTGCCTCTGGAATGGAGCCTGAGAGACTGTTATCAGTGAGGCGTCTGGAGCATGATGAGGGTGTGACGGTGAGAGGGAAGTGGAGAGGGGAAGGCGGGAAGGGGAAGGCAGGACATGCAATGATGGTGAAGGGGCAGAAGAAACATGGGTGGGTGGGTGGATAGAGATGATAGGGGTAAGGGAAAAAGGAAGGACACAGGGGTGGGCACAAGAAAGGGCATGGGCGTGGCAAGATAAGAGAATAGATGAGAAGGCAGGCAAGATAGGGCAAGCCGCGTTCAGCCAATTGAATGCAAGACAGACAGTCACGTGCAAGTCAGTCAGACGCAAGTTCATCCAAGCAAGGGCAAGTCAGAGGGGGAAAGTGGGGGAATCGATGGAGAAGGGAGATGAAAAGGAGTCTCACAGATTCTTGAGATGGGACAATGCGAGGAGAGCAGTGGGCAGGGGGTCGACGAGGGTGCACTGTGTGATGAAGCTGTGGGAGGAGAAGGATGGCAGGGAGGGCGGAAGGACTGAAGTTGAATGAAGTACCTGTTTCCCAGATGCGAAGGAACTGTAATGAGAGTGCAAGGGGATAACGCAGGGTGAAATGCTTACAGTGCAATGACATGCTTACAGTGCAATGACATGCCCATCGCCATCACATCGCACGGCATCCATGCTGTTGCAATCCTCGCCCCTCTTCCATGTGCTCACACCCCGCATATCGTTCCATTCGTGTGCTAGACTCGCCAAAGCGTCCACTGCCATCCATCCAGGACACCATCCATAGCCATGCACCCATGCCATGCACCCATGCCATAACACCCAAGGCCGCATGTCATGCCTCAGAACATGTTCGAAACATTCCCAGGGGAGGGGCGAGAGGAACAGGCGGAGGCGAGAGGAACAGGCGGATGCGAGAGGAACAGGGGGAGGGTAGAGGGATGGAGGTGGGACTGGCAGAAGGGGCAGCTGAAGTCATGTTGCTTGTTGAATCGGGATACGGTGTCTGGGTGGTATGGTACACGGCATGGCTGACTGTCAAAAGGAGGAGGAGGTGGAGGAGGAGGAGGGACGACAGAGGGTCCGTCACGGCTTACTCTCAGCCTGTGATGTGGAGGAGGTCGAGAATGAACGGCTCACTCTCGGCTTACTGTCAGCACGGCTTACTGTTAGCAAGCAGTGCAGCACTGCTTAATTAACGGTTTACTCTCGGCTTAACGGCTTACTCTCGGCTTAACGGCTTACTCTCGGCTTAACGACTTACTCTCGGCTTAACGGCTTACTCTCGGCTGAACGGCTTACTCTCGGCGTCCACCACTGGAGAAGCGCGTGCGAGGCGCATGCAGCAGCGCGCCACCACCAGCGCCACCACCGCCGCTCTCGCCGCCATCAGCACGTCGCCGTGCCTCCCCATCGCCGCGGCGCAACCGCGATACCCACTGGGTAGCCCGATTGGCAATCGATAGTCACGGTGTGCTTGTTTGCCGCACGCGCTGCCGTCGCCCGACCGCACTGCACGCACGCGGCCTTGCCCGCGTGAACCGTGGGTCTTCACGAGTCGTGAGCAGTTTGCGTGTGCGCGTTGCAGCGCGGGAGATCGAGACTCTTGAGCAATAAAAGAGATTTAAGCCGTTTCCGGAGAAGTTGGCTCCAAGTGCTATCAAAGGGCGAGTAACGCGGATATCTTATTCCATGCCTTCTCGTTCTCGTCTTGGTCTCTCGCGGGAGTAATGGGAAACACTGATGCAGGGAAGGTGCAATGGACGGATGGTGCAATGCAATCAACCAGCTTATGGCTTGGTGCTTAGATGGCGTGGTGCTGGATTGATCCACGCAAACTTGCTCCAGATCAAAAGCTTGCTTTCTCACCAGATGTCGCCGTTTCTTAAAACCCGCAGCCTGAATTACAAAAAAAGTTGGTGTTAACACCCCCCCCTCCCGAACCAGGGTGGTTACCAGGTCTCACCTCCAAAACGTGAGGAAAGTCGCAGGGTGCGTAGGGAAGGATCGCAGGGGTCTCACCACCACTCTTGGGGGAGGTGTGCACACCAAGCTCAAAATCTGTAATTCAGGTCGACAAAAAACACAGAGTTCAGGGCCAAACTTGGGCAAGTCATAGCTTAGAAGAGACTCAGCGCGCCGACTTCCACGTCAGTTTAGGGTTCCGCAACACGCTCTGGTATATCGCCTGCTCTCCGACGAGCTGAGTCGCCTTTGCTATCCGCACGCCTTACATCGCGGACTCACTGCACGGGAAGAGCAGGAACCATTTACGTGCACATGCCCATCGTCGACCGCGGTTTCACTTCCTTTTCGCCAGGCGCATCGATGTCGCGGTTGTTTCTAGCCGCGCCCGGCACTGTCCAGAGTAGAGCATTCCGCGTTACACTAAGATTCGATACTTTCATGTCTAAGTTAGTAGCTAGTAATGGTGTGCTGGTTTTTTGTCGACGGAGGTTCTGTAGGTCACATCCCTCCCTCATTGTATTGGTTTCCGTCGCCCAGATTCTATGTTGCGACACTTGTGTGTTCGCAAATTGGTTTCGCCACCCCAAAAGTGTCACCCAACCACCCGGCTCTCTCCCCAACCTCTTCCCAAACCAAGCGTTGACTCGTTTTTGTATTTCAGGCTGCGGGTTTTAACCCAGAAAACCGCTCCGGAACATTGCGAAACCTTTTAGACTGCAAAGCACCGCCAGCGTTCTTTGATTCGAAGTGCCGAAGAAATAGAAGACTTGGACTGACTAATTTGGTTGGTGAGGTCTGTTGGAAGGCGTGACGGTGGAGAGACGAACGCGTTACAGTAAAGCTTCCGTCAAAGCGATTTAGGATTTCTGTACTTTGCCTGTATTCCACCAATCTTCAACAATTGGCATAAAATATCAAGACGAGCATGCAACTGATTGCAGGAATAAGAGTGCAACCCAAGACATTGATGAATAAGTGAGGCATGTACAGAGTTACAATAATATTCAGGCGAAGCTACTGGTACATATTTCTTTAAGGACTAAAACGTCGACGAGGGATACTACTCTAGCAGGCAACCAAGATTAACCATCCAACATGCCCTCAGACTCATTTTAGACTTGTCTGGATCGCATGGCGTTGTATCCTTGCAAGAGGTAGGCATTTCTGGGTGGCAGAAATTTCTTGGAGGATGTAAAAATTCACATTCCCCCGTGGTAGTGAACCCTTGGCAATCCTGCACTAGCAAGTGATTTCCACGCCCATTGCAGCCTGCCGGGCAGCAAGGGCTCTCTTTGAAAAGAAGTAGCGAGTGGGGGGACGATTCTTGAGGCGCCTCGAAAACTGCGGCAGTGAGAAGGCCAGCAGCAGCAGCATAGCCAGTGGAAGCAGCAGCAGGAGCAGCAGATTTCGAGGCGTCTGGAGAGCAAACAGAGCCTCCCCCACGGCTGCAATGCCTGGTGGTTCAGAGGGTATACCAAGAGAGACGCACGTGGCAGCAGCAGGCCCTGGCGTGTACCCCTCATCACAGACGCACTGGCCCTCGGGTTCACAGTAGGGTGGCGGCGGCACATCCTCCTCACAGGCACTCATCTCCTCAGACGGGTCCGGCTCGAAGGAGCACACGCCATGGCCGCTGCACGGCGGGGTGAGCGGCTGCGCCCCACAGAACGCCCGGCACTCGCTGTCACTCCTCTGGTCCTGCCAACGGCCGCAGGAGATCGAGTTGTTGTCAAGACAGTTGTGGTGGAACAGACACAAGCTGTGGGATTTTGCAAGATCCTCTAGGCTGGTAGCGTTGAACGGGAGAGGGTCTGCTGTGGCTGTGAGGTAGTTGTGGTCTGCAGACAGCCCGCGTTCCGAAGTGAGACGGGCCATGTGGTGCAAGGAGGGCAGCTCTCCCGTAAGCTGGTTGTGGTCAAGGCGGCTGTGATGCCACGGGAAGGCGGGAGGGGTAGGGGTGGGAAGCCAGAGGAGTGCTTAGGAATGGGAGTGTTGGGAAAGATGGAGTGCAAGAAAGGGGGAGTGATGAGACAGGAGTAGGATTTTGAGTCATCAAACCCAATTTTCATATGTCAGCGCTGAATGATTCCTCTCATCATTTCTAAGGCGTGGACAAGGCGCTGAGGAGAGGAGGAAGAATCCCAAATGGTTCAAAGTATGAGCAAGACAGGGCTCTACAGGAACAACGGTAAACTCAGGAGAGGAGAGGAAGTGGTGTTATTAGAGCAGGTGGTGTTATGGGCGCAGGCGGTGGGAGCAGGATGGCATTCACTCAGAAAGATGACGAGGTTGACACCCTTCAAGTCAATGCGGCCTTCAGCAAGTAGAAAGGAAGACACGTGTGGGCGGCAGAAAGAAAACGAGCTGCTGCGAGCAGGAGTGGCGTTTCAGAGAGAAGAAGAGGTGTGTAGCAGTGGTGCTGACAGTTGCGAACTATTTGGGGTAACAACCATAGCATGGCAATACGTAGCAGTCACCCTGACTAGACAAAATATATTGGTATAATTTTGTACGCATGAACTTTCAGACCAGTACTTACACTTCTTCTTGGCAGGGGATTGATGTTTGACTTTTAGTAATTGCCCCCCGATTTTGTCTCCCTAAGCCCGATGAATTTGCTAAACACCCTAATCTATCCGCTCCCCTTATATTCCACACCCCGTTCGAATGCAAAAACTGGGATTAACCATTAAGTTGAGGGTAGTTTAGGGCAGTTTAGGGTAGTTAAGGGTAGTTTAGGGCCACGAGCTGGCTAAGAAAATTGTCATTGTAATGGCCCACGAAATGTGTGGCGCGGTCTGCTTACACGTTACAGCTCTTCGCATTCGCCAGACCCGACCATTTGGTCGGCTATTAGGCCTGGTCGGTACAATGTTACATGGCCTAACACTGACAGGTATTCGAGATTAATGAGAGTGGTGATTGCAGCAGGTATCGTCCCCGCAAGGCAATTGGTGCTGAGTTCCCTGAAGACAGGTGAATGGATGGACGTGGAGGGAAGGGGGGATGAAGAGGGGATGATGTGATGAGGAAGAGGCAAAGAAAGGAAGAGGGGAAGAGGAGAAGAGGAGAAGAGGAGAAGAGGGTAGGAGGAGAGGGGGAGAGATGAAGTGGAGAAGCCAAGAAGAGAAGGGAAGGCAGAGATGGTGCCTTGGAAAGTGTGAGTGCAGTTGCTGAAAGTTGTGTGCCTTGAGAATCACACACCTGCAGCAGCTGACGGAATTGAAGGCAACAGAAAGTGCCTCCGTATTCTCCTATTTTTGCCCTCGTCTCCCCTCCCTCCCTCTCCCTCACTCTCCCTCCCTCTCCCTCCCTCTCCCTCCCTCTCCCTCCCTCTCCCTCACTCTCCCTCCCTCTCCTTCCCTCTCCCTCCCTGCCCCTTCCTCCCCCTCCCTCTTCCTCCATCTCCTTCCCTCTCCCTCCCTCTCCCTCCCTCTCCCCCCCTCCCCCTCCCTCTCCCTCCCTCTCCCTCCCTCTCTCTCCCTCTCCCTCCCTCTCCCTCCCTTTCCCTCCCTCTCCCTCCCTCTCCTTCCCTCTCCCTCCCTCCCCCTTCCTCCCCCTCCCTCTTCCTCCATCTCCTTCCCTCTCCCTCCCTCTCCCTCCCTCTCCCCCCCTCCCCCTCCCTCTCCCTCCCTCTCCCACCCTCTCTCTCCCTCTCCCTCCCTCTCCCTCCCTTTCCCTCCCTCTCCCCCTCTCCCCCTCCCTCTCCCTCCCTCTCCCACCCTCTCCCTCCCTCTCCCTCCCTCTCCCTCCCTCTCCCTCCAACGCCCCCCCTCCCCCTCCCTCTCCCTCCCTCTGCCCCCTCCCTCTCCCTCCATCTACCTCCCTCTCCCTCCCTCTCCCTCCCTCTCCCTCACTCTCCCTCCCTCTCCTTCCCTCTCCCTCCCTCCCCCTTCCTCCCCTCCCTCTTCCTCCATCTCCTTCCCTCTCCCTCCCTCTCCCTCCCTCTCCCCCCCTCCCCCTCCCTCTCCCTCCCTCTCCCACCCTCTCTCTCCCTCTCCCTCCCTCTCCCTCCCTTTCCCTCCCTCTCCCCCTCTCCCCCTCCCTCTCCCTCCCTCTGCCCCCACCCTCTCCCTCCCTCTGCCCCCTCCCTCTCCCTCCCTCTCCCTCCCTCTCCCTCCAACGCCCCCCCTCCCCCTCCCTCTCCCTCCCTCTGCCCCCTCCCTCTCCCTCCATCTGCCCCCTCCCTCTCCCTCCCTCTCCCTCCCTATCCCTCCCTCTCCCTCTCTCTCCCTCCCTCTCCCTCACTCTCCCTCCCTCTTCCTCCCTCTCCCTCCCTCTGATTCCGATCCTCATCCTACCCACCCTCTCAAACCCCCGATGCTTGGCAGAAAGAGGCAGGCGGAACGAAGGGATGGAGAGAGGGGGGGTGGAGGGGAGGGAAATTGGGCGCACAAGTAGGTGAGTGCGGTGAGGTGGCCAATGCAGGAAGGAATGGTGCCACTCAGCCTGTTGCTTCTCAGATCCCTGCCATGGGATATCATGGGATGGGATGGGATGGGATGGGATGGGATGGGATGGGATGGGATGGGATGGGATGGGATGGGAGATGGGATGGGATGGGATGGGATGGGATGGGATGAGTTGAGATCAGCCCCATAGATTGGTTCTGGAGCAGGATGAAAATTGGCAAAAAATGCCACTTCACATTAGAGGATCGCTGAATATTCCTGGAAAAAAAGGAAGCTCTGGCAGGCTGAACTTGCTTAAAAAACTGAAACCTGAGGGCCTCGACATGATTAGATGGGATGGAATGGTATCGAATGGGATGGGATGGAATGTTATGGGATGGGATGGAATGGTATGGGATGGATGGGCAGGCCATTAGCCCATATGAATGCCTCCACTCACTCTCTCATCCCCTCACCCACTCACTCACTCACACTTTCACCCACACGTTTCTGACTTGTCCACCCTCTCTCGGCCTCTAACTCTCCCACTCACTTTCTCACTAAGGGGACCAATCACGCCGGATCATCCCACAGAACCTTGCATGTCTACCCCATCACCACTCACAACCGCTGTAGCTGCTTGAGGCTGCTGATTGCCTCTGGAATGGAGCCTGAGATATTGTTTTGGCTGAGGCCTCTGGAGCATGATGAGGGTGCGACGGAGAGGGGAAGGTGGAGCGGGGAATGCGGAGGGGGGAAGGGTGGCGAGTGGAAGGGGAAATATTTGAGGTAGAAGGCATGAAGGACAATTATGATTATGATTATGGAAATGGAAGGGGGAAAGCAGTGATGCGTTTTCCTCATCCGAAACTCACACAGCATGGTGGCCGTATCATTGTAATTTTGTAGCTGACAAAAAGTTTAGATGCTGTTAATGTTTCTTTTTGCTAATAGTGGAGGTAAAGGAGGTGTAAGGCGGAAGAGAATGGGAGAGAGGTCAGCAGGGAAGAAGACAACACGAGAGACGGGATTGGGTGGGATGGGATGGGATGGGATGGGATGGGATGGGATGGGATGGGATGGGATGGGATGGGATGGGATGGGATGGGATGGGATGGGATGGGCTGCACAAGCTACAACTCCCCATCACCACTCACAACCGCTGCAGCTGCTTGAGGGTTCGGATTGCCTCTGGAATGGAGCCTGAGGGACCGCTCTGATATAGTACCCTGGAGCATGGGGAGGTTGGGCGGACGCCGGAAGGGAGGCGATGCGAAGGGAGGGCACATAGTGCAGAGGATGGGAGAGAGGGGGGTGGAGGGAGAATGGGAGAGAAAGGGGTGAAGGGAGAATGGCCACACAGGGTGGTGAGTGCTGTGAGGCGGGCAATGAAGGCGGGAATGGTGCCACTCATGCTGTAGCAGTTCAGCCACCTGCCATGTGGTGGCATGGGATGGGATGGGATGGGATAGGATGGGATGTGATGGGATGGCATGGGATGGCATGGGATTGAAGATCAGGAATGGCATGTGTGGCAGCCCATGGCCAAGGTATAGCATGTATAGCGTCGTGGATGTGTTGCACTGGGTACTGGAGAAGCTCTGTACCACAAGCTACGTTACTGGAGAAGCTCTGCGGATTGATTCCGAGAATTCTCACAATCAATCTACCGGAGAAGCTTCAGTCAAACGAGCCAGGTTACTGGAGAAGCTCCAAAGGGGGGAAAAGACTCGCAGTCACACAAACACGAGAACTCTAGCGAAGTTCAATTGCAGAGGCACAAGAGGCATTCGAAAAGGACTCCAGGACTCAAAATGCACTATCAGTATCCCAAAACGATGCACATCCCACTTCCGTACAGATTTTCCAGGTTGGTGAGCGCTCTTATTGCCTCGGGGATGGACCCTGCCAGATCGTCCTCCTCAAGGACTCTGCGATCAAGTGCGGCACAGTGCGGTGAAGTGTGGCACGGAGAGGAATGGTGGAAAGGAACGGGGGAGGTTGGGTGTGGGAAGGTTGAGAACGCATTGCCTCACATGCATCCCCTGTGCATTGCAGCACCAACCTCGCAGCACCAGCAGTGCATATACCAGCAGTGCACATACTTTCAGTGCATGTGTCTGCTCTCCCTGTTTCTTGCATATACCTGCAGTGCATGTGTCTGCGCTGCATGTGTCGGCAGCAGGGCATGTGTCTGCTCTGCCTGTGTGTTGCAATACAGCACTCACAACTCCCTTAGCTGCTTGAGGCTGCTGATTGCCTCTGGAATGGAGCCCGAAAAATTGTTTTTCTGGATAACTCTGATGCATTGTGACGGTTGGGCGGAAACAGGGAAGAGGGACGTGCAGAAGGGGAGAGGGACGTACAGAAGGGAGGGGATTATTGGAAAGACTTTTGAGACGTCTCAAAAGGACAGGGAAGAGGGGAGTGCGAAGAGGGACGTGCGAAGAGGGACGTGCAGAAGGGAGGGGAATTATTGGAAAGCGAAGGCCGGAAGGGTAGGTGTGGGTAAGAGGAGAGAATAGAAGCGGGAAGATGAAAAGGGAGTCGAATAAGCCGTTGGGAGCAATGCAGAGTTGTGTACTGTTGGATGCAGATTCTGGAATGAGAGCTTTCTTATGCGAACTAGAATTGTATGATGGACTAGCATCTTAGAAGTGCAAAGAAGGTAGGTGAGATAAGTAAGGGGGGACAAGGGCACTCTTGTTATGGAAAAGGATGTTCGATGGGGCGTGGTGCATGGCAGATGGTGCATGGCAGATGGTGCATGGCAGATGGTGCATGGCAGATGGTGCATGGCAGATGGTGCATGGCAGATGGTGCATGGCAGATGGTGCATGGCAGCACGCACAGTGAAGTCAAGTCTGTGAGGCTGAAGATCCACGCAGGCACCCCCCCGGACAGTTGATGATTCGTCAAGTGCCTGACGATGGAAGCAGTAAAGAGAGAAGCAGCAGCCATGAGAGGAGCAATCAAGAGGCAAGGAGCAGGGAAGTTATAGGAATAATGGGTATGTGGAACCAACGAATAGGGGATTTGCAAGGTGAAAATGAAGAGTGAGGAGAACAAAAGAAAGGAGCGAGCATGGCAAGCATGAAAATTTCCCTTTAATGCTGCAGTGTCATGCACAATGCTTCACATGCCCTTCAGGCTTCACACATCCCCTAGGGTGTCATCACATGCCATCACATGCCATCACATGCCATCACATGCCATCAGATGCCATCACATGCCATCCCATGCCATCACATGCCCCTCACCCGGCCTTACAGAGACTGCAGCTTCTGCAGCTGGGAGAGCCCGACTGGTAGCGACTCCAATCGGTAGTTCCCCTCCAAACTCCTGCACGCACCAGCCATGCACCAGCCATGCACCAGCCATGCACCAGCCATGCACCATCCATGCACCAGCCATGCACCAGCCATGCACCAGCCATGCACCATCCATGCACCAGCCATGCACCAGCCATGCACCATGCATGCACCACGTATGAACATCCATGCACCACGGACATGGACAGTTAAGAAACATCCGAGGGTGCTGCAGGGGGGAAGGGGGCTGTTGACGAGATGCTGCAGGAGAGAACCGAGTGGCGGGAGATGGGGTGTGAGGGGCGAGATGGGGTGTGAGGGGGCAGAAGGGCAGACATGGGGTCGACACAAATTCCGGTGCAGTGCAGGAACAACGCTGTAAGCCTCAACTTGCTCCACCACTTGCACTCATTCTCTCACCTCACTCATTCACATGCCATCCCATGCCATCACATGCCATCACATGCCCCTCACCCTGCCTTACAAAGACTGCAGCTTTTGCAGCTCGGACAGCCCGTCTAGTAGTGAGGTCAGTAGATAGTTGCTCGACAAACTCCTGTATGCACCATGTATGCACCATGTATGCACCATGTATGCACCATGCATGCACCATGTATGCACCATGTATGCACCATGTATGCACCATGTATGCAGCATGTATGCACCATGCATGCACCATGCATGCACCATGTATGCACCATGCATGCACCATGTATGCACCATGTATGCACCATGTATGCACCATGTATGCACCATGTATGCAACATCCATGCACCACACCACGGCGGAATGAGGGGCCAGATGGGGTGAGAGGGGCCAGATGGGGTGTGAGGGGCCAGATGGGGTGTGAGGGGCCAGATGGGGTGTGAGGGGCCAGATGGGGTGTGAGGGGCCAGATGGGGTGTGAGGGGCCAGATGGGGTGTGAGGGGCCAGATGGGGTGTGAGGGGCCAGATGGGGTGTGAGGGGCCAGATGGGGTGTGAGGGACCAGATGGGGTGTGAGGGGCCAGATGGGGTGTGAGGGGCCAGATGGGGTGTGAGGGGCCAGATGGGGTGTGAGGGGCCAGATGGGGTGTGAGGGGCCAGATGGGGTGTGAGGGGCCAGATGGGGTGTGAGGGGCCAGATGGGGTGTGAGGGGCCAGATGGGGTGTGAGGGGCCAGATGGGGTGTGAGGGGCCAGATGAGGTGTGAGGGGCCAGATGGGGTGTGAGGGGCCAGATGCGGTGTGAGGGGCCAGATGGGGTGTGAGGGGCCAGATGGGGTGTGAGGGGCCAGATGGGGTGTGAGGGGCCAGATGGGGTGTGAGGGGCCAGATGGGGTGTGAGGGGCCAGATGGGGTGTGAGGGGCCAGATGGGGTGTGAGGGGCCAGATGGGGTGTGAGGGGCCAGATGAGGTGTGAGGGGCCAGATGGGGTGTGAGGGGCCAGATGCGGTGTGAGGGGCCAGATGGGGTGTGAGGGGCCAGATGGGGTGTGAGGGGCCAGATGGGGTGTGAGGGGCCAGATGGGGTGTGAGGGGCCAGATGGGGTGTGAGGGGGCAGATGGGGTGTGAGGGGGCAGATGGGGTGTGAGGGGGCAGATGGGGTGTGAGGGGCCAGATGGGGTGTGGAGTAGACGCAGAGTCCGTGGGTGGGAGGAACAACGCTGTAAGCCTCCTCTTGCTCCACCACTTGCACTCATTCTCTCTCCTCACTCATTCACTTATCTCTCACCATCTCACCCACCCACTTACCTCTCACCCTCTCACCCACCCACTCACACCCACACGTGCTGCACCCCTCCCCCCAAGCACACTCACAGGCGAGTGAGCTGCTGCAGATTGCTGAGCCCTTTGAGATCAATGCGATGGGCTGCGCTGTTGCATGGTGGGGTGGGGGCCATGGCAGGCACGAATAGGAGAAGGAAACGAGAGGAGAGGCCAGGGAGGTGAGAAGGCAGGGAGGGGGGACAATCAGCGAGGGGAGAAAGAGGGGAAGAGGGGAAGAGGGGAATGAGGGAGGAAGTGGAGTGAATATGATTCACCCAAGAAGGGGGGTCTGCGGTAGGCATGCAGTTGGGCATGCAGTTGGGCATGCACATGCAGGTAGTGTGACGGCCCGTGACAGAGAGAAGAGGGAGGGAGGTGCATGAGAGAGTGGAACTGACATGGGTTCGGGGAGCAAGCGAAGGCCGCAACACTCCAATTCCCTACAGGTAGCCGGCACACGCAAAGACGGAGAAGGGGCAGTAGAAACATGGGTGGGTGGATGGAGATAACAGGGGTAAGGGAAAAAGGAAGGACATTGGGGTGGGCCCTGAATCATAGTAAAGGAGGAGAGGCACAAGAGAGGGCCGATGTGGGCGAGGCAAGATGAGAGAATAGAAGAGTAGGCAGGCAAGACAGGGCAAGACAGGACAAGCCGTGTTGAACCAACCGAATGCAGGTCAGTCACATGCAAGTCAATGAAGACTGCCCAAGCGAGCTTTAGTCAGTACAAGCAAGGACCATTCTTTGCAAGCAAGGGGCAATTCACTACACGCAAAGGAGTTTCACTACAAGCAAGCAAGGGCAAGTTAGCAGGGGAAAGTGGGAATAGAACGCATGAGCGCATGAGGCCCAGTGCGCAACGATAACAGCAGGAGTCTCACAGATCCTTGAGATGGGACAATGCGAGGACAACAGTGGGCAGGGAGCCGATGAGGGCCCACCCTTTGATGGTGCTGTGGAAGGAGACAGTTTGCATGCAGGGAGGGAGAATTGAGGTCGACTCAAACGCAGGTTTCAGAGGGTGCAAAGGAAATGGAATCAGGGTGCAGGAGGACAATGCCAGGTGTACAGGACAATGTCATGCTTACAGTGCAATGACATGCTTACAGTGCAATGACATGCTTACAGTGCAATGACATGCTTACAGTGCAATGACATGCTTACAGTGCAATGACATGCTTACAGTGCAATGACATGCTTACAGTGCAATGACATGCTTACAGTGCAATCACATGCTTACAGTGCAATGACATGCTTACAGTGCAATGACATGCTTACAGTGCAATGACATGCTTACAGTGCAATCACATGCTTACAGTGCAATCACATGCTTACAGAGCAATGACATGCTTACAGTGCAATGACATGCTTACAGTGCAATGACATGCTTACAGTGCAATGACATGCTTACAGTGCAATGACATGCTTACAGTGCAATGACATGCTTACAGTGCAATGACATGCTTACAGTGCAATGACATGCTTACAGCACAATGACATGCTTACTGTGCAATGACATGCTTACAGTGCACTGACATGCTTACAGCGCAATGACATGCTTACAGCGCAATGACATGCTTACGGTGCAATGACATGCTTACGGTGCAATGACATGCTTACGGTGCAATGACATGCTTACAGTGCAATGACATGCTTACAGTGCAATGACATGCTTACAGTGCAATGACATGCTTACAGTGCAATGACATGCTTACAGTGCAATGACATGCTTACAGTGCAATGACATGCTTACAGCACAATGACATGCTTACTGTGCAATGACATGCTTACAGTGCACTGACATGCTTACAGCGCACTGACATGCTTACAGCGCAATGACATGCTTACGGCGCAATGACATAATTACGGTGCAATGACATGCTTACGGTGCAATGACATGCTTACAGTGCAATGACATGCTTACAGTGCAATGACATGCTTACAGTGCAACGACATGCTTACAGTGCAATGACATGCTTACAGTGCAATGCCATGCTTACAGTGCAATGACATGCTTACAGTGCAATGACATGCTTACAGTGCAATGACATGCTTACAGTGCAATGACATGCTTACAGTGCAATGACATGCTTACAGTGCAATGACATGCTTACAGTGCAATGACACGCCCATCGCCATCACACTTCACGTGATCCATGCTGTCGCAATCTCTGCCCCTCATCCATGTGCTTGCATCCCGCACATCGTCCCATTCTTGTGCTAGATTCGTCAAAGCTTCCACTGCTATGCATCCATGTCATGCACCCATGTCATGCACCCATGTCATGCACCCATGCAATACCCCCCATGCCATCCACCCGTGCCGTACCATCCACGGCAGCATGTCATGCCACATCACATGTTGAGAACATTCCCAAGGAGATGCGAGAAAAACAGGGAGAGGGAAGAGGGATGGAGGTGGGGATGGCAGGAGGTGCAGCTGCCACCAGCAGTGATGGCTGTTGCTCGTGCGGGCCTCATGTTGCATGCTAAATCAGGTTACGGTGTCTGCACGGTATGGTGCACGGCATGGCTGACTGTCAGGGACCTGCTTTCAAAAGGAGGAGGTGGAGGGACGCATGTGCGTGCAGCACGGCTTACTGTCAGCACGGCTTACTGTCAACACGGCTTACTGTCAGCACGGCTTGCGCCCAGCGTGCAGTGCAGCACGGCTGAACGGCTTACTCTCGGCTGAACGGCTTACTCTCGGCTGAACGGCTTACTCTCGGCTGAACGGCTTACTCTCGGCTGAACGGCTTACTCTCGGCTGAACGGCTTACTCTCGGCTGAACGGCTTACTCTCGGCTGAACGGCTTACTCTCGGCTGAACGGCTTACTCTCGGCTGAACGGCTTACTCTCGGCTGAACGGCTTACTCTCGGCTGAACGGCTTACTCTCGGCTGAACGGCTTACTCTCGGCTGAACGGCTTACTCTCGGCTGAACGGCTTACTCTCGGCTGAACGGCTTACTCTCGGCTGAACGGCTTACTCTCGGCTGAACGGCTTACTCTCGGCTGAACGGCTTACTCTCGGCTGAACGGCTTACTCTCGGCTGAACGGCTTACTCTCGGCTGAACGGCTTACTCTCGGCTGAACGGCTTACTCTCGGCTGAACGGCTTACTCTCGGCTGAACGGCTTACTCTCGGCTGAACGGCTTACTCTCGGCTGAACGGCTTACTCTCGGCTGAACGGCTTACTCTCGGCTGAACGGCTTACTCTCGGCTGAACGGCTTACTCTCGGCTGAACGGCTTACTCTCGGCTGAACGGCTTACTCTCGGCTGAACGGCTTACTCTCGGCTGAACGGCTTACTCTCGGCTGAACGGCTTACTCTCGGCTGAACGGCTTACTCTCGGCTGAACGGCTTACTCTCGGCTGAACGGCTTACTCTCGGCTGAACGGCTTACTCTCGGCTGAACGGCTTACTCTCGGCTGAACGGCTTACTCTCGGCTGAACGGCTTACTCTCGGCTGAACGGCTTACTCTCGGCTGAACGGCTTACTCTCGGCTGAACGGCTTACTCTCGGCTGAACGGCTTACTCTCGGCTGAACGGCTTACTCTCGGCTGAACGGCTTACTCTCGGCTGAACGGCTTACTCTCGGCTGAACGGCTTACTCTCGGCTGAACGGCTTACTCTCGGCTGAACGGCTTACTCTCGGCTGAACGGCTTACTCTCGGCTGAACGGCTTACTCTCGGCTGAACGGCTTACTCTCGGCTGAACGGCTTACTCTCGGCTGAACGGCTTACTCTCGGCTGAACGGCTTACTCTCGGCTGAACGGCTTACTCTCGGCTGAACGGCTTACTCTCGGCTGAACGGCTTACTCTCGGCTGAACGGCTTACTCTCGGCTGAACGGCTTACTCTCGGCTGAACGGCTTACTCTCGGCGTCCACCACGGGAGCAGCGCGTGCGAGGGGCATGCAGCAGCGCGCCACCACCAGCGCCACCACCGCCGCTCTCGTCGCCATCAAGACGCCGCGGAGCGTCCCCTTAGCAGCCCACCACCCCATCGATGGTCGCCCGTGAGTATACTCAGGCTCTCCCGTGTTTTCCCGTGAGCTCTTAGCTGGAAGGGGTTGCAACGCGTTGTCCGTACGCGGCGTGACCCGTGCGGGGGCGACGCTGTTTCTATTGCATTTCTGTCGTGCTATCGTGATTCGCTTGTGTGTGCGCGTTTCAAGGGGCTGAGACCGAGACTCTTTGAACAAAAAAATCTGCTGGGAACGTCGCCACGAGGAGTCCTCGTATCAATGGCGACTGTAACGCGGAATCGTAATAGCGACCATCTAGTTTCTCCTCTTCGTTTTCGTCTCCGTCTTTCACAGGAGCCTTATGTGATTCACTGACGCAAGCGAGGTGCACTGACATGGAGCGATGGCTAATCAGCTTGCAGCACGCAGCATGAATCGCAGGAAGGTTGGATGGTGTGGTGCTCGGTTGCACCCATTAGTTGTTGGGATCTGAATGCCAGACTTGGTCAACAGATTCTTCGCCGAGTGCAGTCGTTTCAAAACGTAATGGATCTCCCCGGATATGCGCAAAACCCTCTGCACCGCACAGCAGCATCAGTGTTCGTGAATCAAGCCCTGAGGAGATTGATGACTCGGGTTGACCAGTGGTTGGTGGGGAGGTTGGGTGTGACGTGACGGTGGAGAACGACCCCTTACAAAAACAATCCTGTATTACAGATTGTCGTACAAAAACAGCAATACTCTGGCACACAAGAGAAAATCGGAGTTGCACAACTTTGAATTAAAGCCAGGATCTCAAGTAAGAGAATTGGCCTTCAATTGCAAAACACTTGCAGCGCTTGTTACCCTATTTTTGTAGGCGAATTGACTGGCTGGTTAGGAAAGTGAGCGTGCGGCACACCCACGATTTTGCCCCTAGAGCAAATGCAAAACATTTTGCTGGTACATGAGATTGTTGTGTGTGACGAGAAATTGCAGGCATTGGAGCTTCGTCACCGAACCAGTTTCCGAGCCTTGCTTGGTTCGGACTGAACTTGCGATTTGTCTTTACTTCGCACCCCTCGCTTCACACCTCGTCAGATTGTTCACCTCGCTAACCAATCGCAGCCCAGCTCCCCTCACCAACTGCAAAACAATTGAACTACTTGAGATCCTGGCTTTAAGGGTTAATTAATGGAAACCCAAGTGATTGTAGAAACTGAAGCTTATAGCATCACTTGTACTTGGCCAGTCAAAACGCAAACAGTGCCACTTGCCAACTTTCTCCATTAATGACTTCAAGGTGCAATTATCAATGTTTACCTTCCAAGAAAAAACATGGCACCAGAGACTATTACAGTCACCTTCTCATCTGCCGTGCTCCATGGTCACACCAGACGGAGCTTGCATGGCTGCCTCCCCACCACCTCCTTCCATGCCCTTCAATTCACCGCAACCACGACACCGGTACTCATGAGTCTCCCCATCCGCTTTCACCGCCTTCCCCTGCTCCGCCCCTTGTACCTCGCCCGGGGTCTCATCAGGCAAGTGTGGGAGCATGTGGAAGCGGTAGTGCCGCACGGTGCGCACCTCTTGGCACAGCGAGCAGCACGGCAGCACGTACCACGACGCAAAGTCCGTCGCTGCCTTGTGCCCGCAGCACCACACCTGCTCCTGCAGCAGAAACGTCCGCCGCACCTTCCACCGCCAGTACCCGCCATACGTCACCCCGAGAAAGCTCCCCAGCACGCCCAGGCTGAACACAAACCACTGCATGGTGGTGTTTGGAATGTTGCGTGCACCCATCGTAAAGATCACAATAGGTCCAAAGATAAAGAATATGAACGTTGCGGTGAAGACGATTCGGTTGCCGAACCCAGCTCTCTCCACGTGCCGTCCGTGCACGCAGAAGCAGAAGATTGTAGCACTCACTGCACTCCAGCATCCATCAGCACAACAGTCAAATGCAGACCCCTGCCATTGCGGCCTCTCCCGTTGCAGTTTCTCATCGTCTGATCTCTCCCCTTCTGGTCGCCACACTGGAATCCGCCACTGCTTCGGATCCTTCAACGTCCGCTCCCCCTCCCCCGCCACTATCTCGTGGTATTCCCCAAACCGGCGCCGCTTGGGCAGCTCTTTGCTTTCCGCCAACGGCGGCTCCTCCGCTTCCGCGCACTGCTGCTCCTCTCCGCACTCCACCACGCCCGCGCGCTGCTTCTCCGCGTCCCTGTGCGCCTGCCCGTCCGCCACCACCACTACCTCCATCTTCCCCTCTCCTGCTATCACTCCGTCGCACAGTGCGCACGGCGTCGCTTTCGCTCCCTGCGACTCGCCTGCACCACTGTGCGACTCGCTCACGGACTTATGCGACTCTGTACTACGCATCCCGAAGCTTCTGAAACTTTTACGAACGGGCGGTTCGGCCGTGGCCCAGCCTAGAGGGCTGAATATGCAGTACAGTCCCGCTGTGAACGGCGAACCGAGAGCGATACAAACGAGGAACGCAATAAGGGGTACGGGGCGCTGCGGCTCAGGAATCGTCCAGAGAATGACCTCTATCGCGTACTGGAAGATGCAGTTGAGTTGAAGCAGCGTCAGCACGACCGACATGTGGAACCGCTCGTCCGGCTTCGCGACGAACGCGCCCGCCGCCGACAGCAGCGCGCGAAGGCTCGCGACGTCGACGCGGTTCCAGCGAACCAGCTGCACGACGTAGTAACACCGGAGAGGGTGCATAACGAGACAGCTGACCGTGCAAACGCCGTTGAGAATCTGATTCGAAAACTCGAACCAGAGCTTTTCCTCCGTCCCGCCGAAAGCCTTCCACATGCCGGTGAGCGTGAAGAAGAGAAGCGCGCCGGAAACGGTCAGCATGCCGATCATAACGAGCGTTGCGATGGCGATGGGATGCTTGAGGGCCTCGGCGGCCTTTGCCAGCGGCTCGCGCCATTCCTGGGGTAAGTAGAACGGGAGAATGAAAGTGTCGCCGCAACAAGGCGGGCCCTTGGGCGCGATGGGTACGCAGTGACACGACGACGTGCCCTCGGCCGGGTCTTGATGTCGCTCCTCCCCACCATCGCCGCCGCCGCCGCCGTCGTCATCGTCGCTGTCGCGCGTCCCTTGGCTGTCGCTTCGCTCCGCTACTGCGGCGGAGGAAAGGCCCGACGACCGGCTCGTTTTCCGCGCCTCGTTTTCTTTCCGCGTGTCGCCGGACGGCTGCTGCACGGAGTGGGGCGCCGCCATGGGCGGGATGTCAGCGGTCGCGCCGGGGAGGGAGCCGCGAAGCGACGCGTTGTTGCCATCGCGGAACGAGGTGGAGGAGGAAGCGAAGGAGCCGAGGCGGTCGTCGTGGGCGAATGGCGTGGTTGACGAGGTGGAGACGTCCGACAGCACGGGGAACGGCGCATTGCTTGAGAAGATATTAGGTCGCCCATTGGCCGCACCAAAGCGGTCCATGGCGTGAAGACCAAAGCTGCGTTAGGTGAGGGGACTCACGCGGAGTAAAAGACGAATCAGCAGGCACAACGGACGCGGTTTAGGTGGGCCGAAGCTGAGGTAAACTGCAGCACATGCCCTTGACACCACATCCGACGTGGCTGCTGCTACTTCTCACCTGCCTGCTCTTTGCGTTGGTGGGTGGGTGTGGAGTGGAGGACAGACAGACTGCCTGCTCGGAGTGAACGGTGGTTGTGTTGTGAGCCAAGCGAAAAAGCGTTTGCGCTCGTCTCGAGGTTTGTTTGCCGTGGATGGATGGACGTCGTGGGAGGTTTTAGAAAGGGATCAAACAGACGGCCAGATTTTAGTGCCGGTGGAGGACGAGGCAGGGAAAAGCACAGCAAACGTAGATCTGACACAAGGAGGAAGACACCAATAATTTTGCGGGATGTCCTTTTTCAGATGTGCTAGGTGGCGCAGTGGTGTGTTGGTGATGCAATTTTCCGTCATTACAAGTGTATTCCCAACGCGTTGCAACTCCCTCAACAAGTTTTGCATCGGTAACGTTTCTTTGTTGCTGCTGGCTCTGTTTTTGCACACTACCGAGGCGCGGTGGCATCGATTAATGACTTTGCTCGCCTCGTTGGCTATCGTTTGAAGCCCAGGTCCACAGTCCGAAGAGGGCGTGTAGGTTTGAGTGGACAAGCTTTTTCGAGTGCGTAGATAATAACACTGCTCTTCGAGTGTGTAGTAAATAGGACAGACTCCGCTTTTATATAATTCACTGAGATCGAAAACCAATTGTGTGTACCTGTCTAGAAAGTCTAAGTTATTAACCTGCGGTACAAGGGTACCCCTCTTGTTTTAAAGGGGAGTCTCCTTGTGACCAGGAAGCTCGAGGGCATCGATATTGGAATACGGACGTGAGCCGATTCGAAGCACGGACAGCCACACTGGGAACCGTGCGACTTGAACCCCACTGGGAACTTCCCCCGCGAAGACACTGCTTGCAGAGGGTACATCACTGAAACATCCCTCCTGGTTGGAACTCGGTGTTTGGGATGGGATAGGGATGGTGAAAGATAAGGCGTGGTACGACCTGGAGCGGTCAAATTGATATCTAGAATGGTGTGTTTGCTAGACCGTATTCATAGTTCTGAGTAATTCGTTCCCAACTAACCTCGGGACTAGGAGTTCACAACTACAGGACACACAGACCTTGTAACGTATGGCAGGTCGTATCTAGTCTAGACGCGCAGAATGTTGCAGAACACAACTATTTGATTGACTAACCCTCGATAAGAGGCCTCGTTTTTATTCGTGAGCATCATCCACTGGCTAATCTAGCTCACCAAAATCGGCTAATTTCGCAACAACAAACGGTTTAGAAATTGTTCGTTTCAAGTTTCACGCCCGAGGTCAGTCTGGTGCACAATAGCTTTAGCCGTGAAAACCAGAACCGTGCTTAACCGTTGTGTAGCGTGCTGACACGCTAGACGAACCTTATGCAAATGGAGTACATGATCTAGGTTACAAATTCGAATTTCATATCGTTTCACGTGTAACAACAAGAGCGCTACCCCACTACGCGTTCTCCAAGTAGCATCCCTCGATTGTCGCTAATCGTAACCGCTCTGACAAGCGCAAGACGCCATGTCGAAAGACCCCGCAGCGCACGCGTTGGCGTTCCGCGTGATGCGCCTATGTCGCCCCGCGCTACAGGCGGACCTTCCGCTGCGCTGCTCCGCGCACGACCTCTGGCTGGGGGAAGACGACCCTCCGCTCGCCTCTTCCGCGCCCCCGCCCCCCGACGACGCTGTCAGCACCGCCGCCACAGGGCTCGGCGGAGCTGGTCTCAGTGGCGCTGGGGGGGCGCGCGCGAGTGCGGGGGACGGGGGGTCGGGGCGGGGGTTGGGTGTAGTAGGCGCGGCGACGGCGGCGGCGGACAGTGATAAGTACTTCGCGAGCCGCGTGGAGCTGAGATCGCCGCTAGACGCGCTAGGGTTGTCAGGCATGCTGGTGCTGCCGCAGTCGTTCGGGTAATGCGCGCTTCTTTCCACTTCCCCCTTTCCCCCTTCCCCTTTACCCTCTCCCCTTCCCCCTACTGGCTGCAGGCTCATAACCAACGAACCACCACCCTGCTTCACCCTGCCCTCCATTCCCAAGAGACACACACACACACCTCGTGTCAAACTTCACATAACTCTTTTATCACTCCCTTTCCCCCTCCGCGCATCCTCCCCCCACCCGGCCATCACCCCATCCACCTCCCTCCCCCTGCCCTCTCCCCCTTAGTCCCCTCCGCCCCATCCTTCCCCCCACTTACTCTCACATACCGGCATCCATCCTCTCCCCCGCACACCCACGACAAGTGCTCTCCAGTTGAGATATGCCTATCAATGAAGCACGACTGCCCTCTGAGGTGACTTTTGAGTCGACTCAAAAGTCATCTCTCCCTCACACGCACCCACGACAAGTGCTCTCCAGTTGAGATATGCCTATCAATGAAGCACGACTGCCCTCTGAGGTGACTTTTGAGTCGACTGAAAAGTCATCTCTCCCTCACACGCACCCACGACAAGTGCTCTCCAGTTGAGATGTGCCTATCAATGAAGCACGGCTGCTGCCCTCGCTCCCCTGCTGCAGGTCTATCCACCTGGGGGAGACGTTCTGCAGTTACATCAGCGTTGGTAACCACAGCGACCGCCACGTCAGCAACGTCGTCATCAAGGTCAGCAAATAGGAAGCGAACCAACCAAGAGCTTTCTCTTCCGCATCCATCCATGGTCCCAGGCGGAGCTACAGACAGAGAGGCACAGAGTGGTGCTGGCAGACAACTCGATGTTTAATTCGGCTCAAAAACCAACAAAGACGTTGTCACCCCTCCGTGTCCCAGGCGGAGCTACAGACAGAGCGGCACCGAGTGGTGCTAGCAGACAACTCGAGCAGCCCGCTTGAGCGGATTCAGGCGGGCGGCAGACATGACTTTATCATTGAGCATGACATCAAGGAGCTGGGGTCGCACACGTGAGACATGGGTGTGGGGCATGGGCATGGGCATGGCATGGGCATGGGTGTGGGTATGGTTGTCTTGTGTAGTGCATGGCATGTTTGCAGCACACGTGAGACATGGTAGATTACAAGGAAGTGTAGAGGAGTGGAGACAACAAAGTTGATTCAACCATTGTTGTTTTGCACAGCATTTGATTTTTGGAACATCTCGAAAGTTAGTATAACCAGTTCTGAGACACGTCACACAACTCATCAATCATTCATTCCACTCAAATAATTCGCATTTGCTTTTGACCCCCCCCCCCCCTCCCTCCCCACCCTGCTTCCTCCCACCCCGCCCCCTCCTAACTGTGCCATGCATGTCATGTGGCAGGCTGGTGTGTTCAGCGCACTACATAGACTTTGGCGAGCACAAGGTGCTGCCGCAGTACTTCAAGTTCATGGCTGCCAACCCCCTCTCCGTCAAAACCAAGGCACGCGATCATGCTGGCGTGGTGACAGGGTGGCATGGTGGCACGCTCGCATGGTCGCAAACTCGCATGGGGGCATGGTGGAAAGGTGGCAAGGTGGCATGGTAACAGGTTGGCCTGGTTGCAGGGTGACGCCTGATTGTGCTCTCTTTAAGGTTGCTTCTCTCCCTTTCCCCCGCAAAAATCTTCCTCGCCTCTTCCAATCTCTTCCACCTGCCTTATCCATCCCCCCACCCACTCCACTTTCCAAGTGTAACTTCCCTGTGGCATCCCAAAACCTCCTCTCCCGCTCCTCCCGCTGTCCCCTTCACCCCCTCACACCCTCCGTCCCAATCTTCCCCCCCGTACCCCACCACATCCTCCCTGTCTTCCCCGCCACTTGCGCCACTACCGCCAGGTGCGCACCATCCGTGAGAGCACGTTTCTGGAGGCGTGCATAGAGAACGGCAGCAAGGCAGCGCTGTTCCTCGACCAAGTGCGCTTCGAGCCCACCCCCGCCTGGCAGGTGAGACGGCTGGCCGGTGAGACGGCTGGCAGGTGAGATGGCTGGCCGGTGAGACGGCTGGCCGGTGAGACGGCTGGCAGGTGAGACGGCTGGCCGGTGAGACGGCTGGCCGGTGAGACGGCTGGCAGGTGAGACGGCTGGCCGGTGAGACGGCTGGCAGGTGAGACGGCTGGCCGGTGAGACGGCTGGCCGGTGAGACGGCTGGCAGGTGGGGTCGGGCAGGGGAAGGGACATATGGATGACACGGTAGGTAGGGAAGGGCTGTGGTGATGTATGGACGGCGTGGTATTGATCCTTGCAACAATCTATGGTTGCTCACTCGCCTTTGTGGTCCATGTGTGGGTTGTTGTGTGTGTGTGTGTGTGTGTGTGTGTGTGTGTGTGTGCGTGCGAACGATTCATGGTTGCATGGGTGCATGGGTGCATGCATGCACGCGTGCATGGGCGCATGGGTGCATGAGTGCATGAATGCATGAATGGGTGCATGATTGATTGCATGCATGCTTCCAGGTGGCCCAGTTAGAGCCCGAGTTCACAGGCAAGGAGGAGGAAGAGGAGGAGGATGGGGAGGAGGGCGCGAGGGAGGAGTGGGGAGGCGCAGCAGTGGCAGATGAGGAGGACGACACAGTCACAGGGGTGGCATGGAGTGAAGTCAGGTGCGGGATAGGGGCGAGTGAGAGGGGCTAGGGAGAGGGGCGAGTGAGTGGGGCTAGGGAGAGGGGCGAGTGAGTGGGGCTAGGGAGAGGGGCGAGTGAGTGGGGCTAGGGAGAGGGGCGAGTGAGTGGGGCTAGGGAGAGGGGCGAGTGAGTGGGGCTAGGGAGAGGGGCGAGTGAGTGGGGCTAGGGAGAGGGGCGAGTGAGTGGGGCTAGGGAGAGGGGCGAGTGAGTGGGGCTAGGGAGAGGGGCGAGTGAGTGGGGCTAGGGAGAGGGGCGAGTGAGTGGGGCTAGGGAGAGGGGCGAGTGAGTGGGGCTAGGGAGAGGGGCGAGTGAGTAGGGCTAGGGAGAGGGGCGAGTGAGTGGTTCTAGGGAGAGGGGCGAGTGAGTGTGGCTAGGGAGAGGGGCGAGTGAGTGGGGCTAGGGAGAGGGGCTTGTTCTGAGTGCATGCTTCTTTAGACGTCCCAAAACGTTGCCGTGGCAGGTGAGGAGGACAATATCGTCGCGGTCGGTGCCTAATAGCCGTGGCAGGAGTGTGGAGTGGAATGGATGGAATGAAGTGAAGTGAGGAGGGAGTGAGTGAGGCTCGTGTTGTGGTTGATGAGCAAAGAGGTGCCTGCCTTTTCTCATCCTCGTCTCTCCAGGGAAACTATCTTTCACCTCGCGCCAGAAGAATGAGACACGTGTCATTTCGTTCACCACCTCCTTTCCTCCTTTCCTCCCTCCCTCCCTCAATCTCTCCCTCCCTCACTCAATCTCTCCCTCCCTCAATCTCTCCCTCCCTCCCTCAATCTCTCCCTCCCTCAATCTCTCCCTCCCTCAATCTCTCCCTCCCTCAATCTCTCCCTCCCTCAATCTCTCCCTCCCTCAATCTCTCCCTCCCTCAATCTCTCCCTCCCTCAATCTCTCCCTCCCTCAATCTCTCCCTCCCTCAATCTCTCCCTCCCTCAATCCCTCCCTCCCTCCCTCCCTCCCTCCCTCCCTCCCTCCCTCCCTCCCTCCCTCCCTCCCTCCCTCCCTCCCTCCCTCCCTCCCTCAATCTCTCCCTCCCTCCCTCCCTCCCTCCCTCCCTCCCTCCCTCCCTCCCTCCCTCCCTCCCTCCCTCCCTCCCTCCCTCCCTCCCTCCCTCCCTCCCCCTCCCTCCCTCCCTCCCTCCCTCCCTCCCTCCCTCCCTCCCTCCCTCCCTCCCTCCCTCCCTCCCTCCCTCCCTCCCTCCCTCAATCTCTCCCTCCCTCCCTCCCTCCCTCCCTCCCTCCCTCCCTCCCTCCCTCCCTCCCTCCCTCCCTCCCTCCCTCCCTCCCTCCCTCCCTCCCTCCCTCACTCCCTCCCTCCCTCCTTCCTCTCTCCCTTACCCAAACCCCAGGGCGCTATTCAAGCCGGTGGATCTGATTCGAGCCAACGGCGGCACACGGCACTTCCTCTACCACCTGCACCGAACTCCCCCTCCCCCTGCAGCTGGCGGGGGAGGGGGGGCGGGGGAGGGCGGGGGGGGCGCAGCAAAGGTGGAGGGGGGGAACACGCTGGGGCGGCTGGAGATCCTCTGGCGGTCAACACTGGGGGAGCCGGGGCGACTGCAGACGCAGCAGATACTGGGGAATGTGAGTGGGGAGGAGAGGGGAGGGGGGATGGGGGATGGGGGAAGAGGGAAAAGGGAGAGGGGGCCGGGGCTGTGGGGAGGTTGGGAGGGAACAAAGACGGGGAGGAAGGGGAAAGGGGAGAGATGAGAGCACTGAATGAGCATTGTGGGAGCTGGTAGTGGAAGAAAATGTGGGTTGGGAGGAGGGTTCATGCATACAGCCTTGTTGGCCTCCTCCCATGCAGCATCGCTTCCTTTCTACATTCAAATATGAGTCTTTGCCTTCTTCCCCCCACCATCCCCCCCTTTCTCAACCCCACCCCCCCCCCCCCCCCCCCCCCCGTTTCCACGTAACTCTCTATAACAAGTGCGGTGCACACGTTTCCTCAAGCTTTGAGACATCTGAATATTTTGCTCTAATATTTTTTCTTCCCATGCCTTCCTCTTTTTGTCGCATTCTGTCACCACTGCTCCCTTCCATACACCATGCACCATTCTTCTTCTTCCTCCTATGCACACCTGCCCAACAGCCCATACCGCTCCCCCTCTTCCCCCTGCGCTCCCTAACCTCCCCTTGCCACCCACCCCCCCTCCCGTCCCCTGTGCGCCCACCTGCCCCCATCAGCCCATAGCGCGCAAGGAGGTGGAGCTGAAGCTCGTCAGCCTGCCCAGCAGCCCATAACGCCCCCCTCCTTCCACCATCACCATCCCCCCCTACTCTCCCTGTCTCCCTCCTCCCCAACCCCACGTGCCCCCATCAGCCCATAGCGCGCAAGGAGGTGGAGCTGAAGCTCGTCAGCCTGCCAACCAGAATCGTTCTCGAGCGACCTTTTCTGGTGCGCCTCTTGCGTTCTCGTATTCTTCCTCTCCTCCTTCCCTTGTGCCTGGCTCCTCCTCCCTGCGTCCCCCTGTCCGCCTGCCTGCCCCTCGCACCCACACTTAGCCTCGTTCTGTCTCTTCCTTTCTTTCCTTTTTGGAATGCCTTTCCGCCTCTCTTGTGCTACCCCCCTGCGTCACTTGCAGCGTTCAACTATCAAGCCTTGTATGTCGTGCATTCCCCTCACACTCCCCGCACCTCCTCCTCCCCGCCTCCCGTCTCTCATAATCAACTTGGTTGCTTCAATGGAAAAAGATAACGCCTTGTTGATCATGTGTGTGCCTCTTCGTCCTCACCATGGTTCCTCCCTCCTCTCCTCTCTCCTCTTCCCCCCCCCCCATCTTCCCTCTCCTTACTGCCGCCTGCCCTGTCTTCCGTTCACTCTGCCCTCTGCCCCTTGTCCCCTGTGCCTTGCCCTTGTCCCTCCCTTTTCCCCAGGTGCACTGTCGCGTGCACAACAACAGCGACCGCCCTTTGGGTCCGCTGCAAATAGTCATTTCGCGGGATGCCATCACCAGCCATTCCTTCCTTGCTCCCGTTCCTTCCCTTTCCCCCAGGTGCACTGTCGCGTGCACAACAACAGTGACCGCCCGTTGGGCCCGCTGCGAATAGTCATCGCACGGGACGAGCCCGTCACTACCACCACCCCCAGAGCCATCGTTGTCAGCGGCCCCTGGACCATGGTGAGGTGCAGTGCGGTGGAGTGGGGTGAGAGTGGGGCAGGTGTGTTCCACACATGCAGCACGGTTGAACACAATAAGGTCTACTCCCTCTGGGATCATCGTTGGAATGCGTTTTTGAGAGCTCTCTCAGAAGTGATTTTCCGTTCAGACTTTTCTTCAGCGTCCTTTCATGCGTGAATTGGAATCACAATGCGCCACGCATTCGACCAAGTCGAGAAGCACCAGCAAGGAGAGAGGCAGACAATTCTCTTAACCCTTTAATGCGAATGGAGGATTGGCACGACCATGATGTTTCAAGCATGACCATGATGTTTCAATCATGACCATGATGTTTCAAGCATGACCATGATGTTTCAAGCATGACCATGATGTTTCAAGCATTACCATGATGTTTCAAGCATGACCATGATGTTTCAAGCATGACCATGATGTTTCAAGCATGACCATGATGTTTCAAGCATGACCATGATGTTTCAAGCATGACCATGATGTTTCAAACATGACCATGATGTTTCAAGCATGACCATGATGTGTTTCGTCCACAAGTCAGCTTCAACGGTGTTGAAATACAGATTTACTCTACTTTTTTCCTTGTTTCAGTTGTAGCCTCACCCCCTCCTCCTCCTCCTCCTCCTCCTCCTCCTCCTCCTCCTCCTCCTCCTCCTCCTCTTCTTTTTTCCCCCACTCTCTCTCCTTTCCATCCTCTCCCCCCTTCTCCCCAACAGACCATCATCAGCATCGCTCCAAACTCATCAGCCGATTTCAATCTGGTGGGCCACCATACCACTCTTCTAACGCTTCCATACAGAGCTATCCACCACATCTTCTTCCCAGAACGCTCTTTCATGTTCCCACACGCCATTCCATGCTTATTCCATATTCTTCTTTCATCTTCCTCTTTTCCATCCTTTTTCTCGCTCTTAACATCCTCCTCCCTCCTGCATCCATCCAGTGTTCAGCCCTTAGCACCCCCTTCTCGACGCCTCTTCCTCCTCTCCACCACCTCTACTTTCCTGTTGCATGCATGCTCTCACCCCCATGCATGCTCTCACCCCCATGCATGCTCTCACCCCCCTGCCTGCTGAGCCGCACACACATGTTCTCTGTGTTGCACCATTCACCTGGATTCCTTCCCCCCCCTCCGTGCCAGTCCATGGTGGCGCTAGCGAGTGGAGTGCACAAGATATCAGGGGTGGGGGTTGTGGATGCACGGGACTCCAAGCCATACGATGCACTCACTCCCACCGAGGTACTTGCCCCATCCTATTCACATCGCATGCACCGATGACACATGCATCCCATCACATGCCTTCCATCAGATTCCTCTCATTGCATGTCTCCCATCGCGTGCATCACTCACATCCCTCTCGTAACATCATAACTCACGCATGGGTTCAAGATTCCAGGGCACCTGCCCACGACGGTGCATGTGTTATCTGATCTTTATTGTCCCCTGTTCAACTCTCTTGCATTGTTGTGTAGGTTTACGTGGAGCTGCAATAATACTCGCAAAAATGAGGATACATTGTGATTCACTCTCTTTTACCCTAGCTTCGACCATGATGTATTCGCTACCAAACTACCGGTAGGTCATGTGTATGGTGTATCAGTATAGCGCACTCTTGTCTATTGCGATTTGAAACGTGGAAAATTTGGCTGATAATGCGGGTCAGCATTTTTAATATGGAACGATTGGCGTTTTGGTGTATCAGGGGCCTGAATAATCGGTCAGGGCATCAATGGCTATGTTTGTGGAGCGTGATTGCCGGTAGCAGAAATCTGAACGTCAACTCTTTTCAATTTGGGTTCAGTCCCCTTTTTCATGCTGCAAAGGTGGCACAGCAAAGCCAATATCAAGAAGGGGAAACCATTAGCTCCATACAGTTTGACAATCTCTTGAACTCGAAGTGACTGGAACAGGTGCCTAGTGTATCCGCCTCCCTGAGTCATCATTGTCCGTTCGAAAACAACGGTTGGGTTCACCGCTTTGAACAGCTACCGACCCGATTGAACAGTGTTTCATGACCTGAAAACGAGCTACGCGCGACAGGGAGTACAGCTTTGGCACACCTGCCTGCGTCGCAACGGGTTTCGTGTTTCCTCGCCTATTTGCGCTTGTTTTCGTGTTTGTGGTTACAAAATCTCAAGCTAGGTTAGGTACGTGTCAAACCCCTAGAAGCTGTCAAAAAGAGAGAAGAAAAAAGTTTTGCCTTGAGCAGGTAGGGTTGCACGTGAGGCCCTCCTCCTCCAACAGCACTTCTCACTTGTCCTGCCACAGTACAGCACACACAGTAGAACGTCGCAGGACCTCACTCTGCAACTCAACCATTGCGACTGAAGGACAGAACCTTCATGTCCTGCATCACCAAGACGAACTTCACTCACAGAACGCTCCCTTCGTCTCTAGTACTGGTTCCATTATGGAGCGTTTTGGATATTTCTTCTTGCTCAGTGAGCATCTTCAGCCTTGAAGAAACGATATGCCGCAACAATTGAACATGTAACGATTTGGCCTTGTTCGGGAGCACCACAAGATGAGGATGAGACTCAAGTCAAGCACCGAGCCTAAAGGTAAATACGACAACACTCCACTTGCAAGATTTTACAGTATCGACAGTTGCACTATCAGATTCGACAGTTGGACAATCAGATTCGACAGCTGTGCAAAATGACAGGGGTTTGCATAGTCAACGCCCCATGTTGAGCAAAAACGACAACCACCTGCCAAAGGGGGTCAAGATGCCAAATCGCAACTACCACTTCAGATATTTCTCAACTTCCCAATTCCTTTCCACTCCAAAACGTATTTTCAGAAACTAGGCAACCCTTGCAAAACGAAAAGCATCAGACTCACTGCTCGCGATCTCGCAATGGAGAGACATAGTGTGGATGTCCACCCTGGGTAATCAAGAAGTGGACACCTATATGCCCAACAAAACTTCTTGACGACTGATCCTCACTTTGCCCTCGCCAGAGCATGGCGAGGGCAAAATGAGGCAACTTTTGCCTGTGATTACTGTGCTGTCAATGGGCGGTAGGGGCAGCGCCTCGGTATCTCGGTGTCTTGGTGTTTCCAAGCCTTCAGGTTTGGTCACGATGGAGGTCGCATGGGGGTCGCACGCGATTTTTGGGCTTCCGAGCCTAGTACTGTTCGTCCTCATCATCATATAGCCCTCAGCCTCATGTTCTCCCGAAGAAGGCCGTGTTCGAACGCTTTGCAGATTGCGTTTCGCGGCCTCTTGCAGTTTCGTTTCAACTGCCAGAACAGCGTTTCTCAAGCTCAATAATCATGTCGCTATCTTCCCGCCAGGTGCGGTGCTCTTCACTGCCGCCAACATCGCGTCTGCGTCGCTCCTCGGGCCAATCCTCCCTCGCAACGGCAATGACGTTCCTCTGGCTTTAACGGCTAAGACGGTCAGCCCCCAGATGTGGAGAGGGAAAACGTTCAGTAAGTGTCTGCTTGTAACCGTCTTGCCGAAAAGACAATATTGTTTAGATTGTACGCATCATGCAGCTCCGCTTTTGACCAAACCCTAGCGAGTAGTTCGTGAATCTATTCTGAAAGTTTTCACAGTTATCAGGGTTCCATTTTTCTCACGTCATGTCACTGTACTGTTTTTCTGTCATGGCTGTCGAAACCTGTCGCTCAAGCAATGTGTTCGCCTCCTCCTCTCTCCTGCACCCATTCAGTGAAATTTGTGGTCAAGCTGCGTCCGACTCGGATCAATGGAAAGCTAGTGGGCGACAAAGGTGCATCCGGAATGTTCATCATGAAGGCTGTGAGGTATGTCCCATGCGATTTGACTGGTGCTAGTATTGAGTATCTCAATCACAGGTTTGAGCAAGGGACCACGGGTTTGATTCGAACTCTCATCATGTCCTAACCCCCATGTGCCATTCCACGACGGGTCTCCCCATGTCCTGTTTCACAGGTTCACTGCATCAAATGCTCACGCCATATATTCGGGACGCATCCGCAACATCAAGTCTCAAGGAGCACCACCCAAAGTGGGCGGAGGAGATTCGTGTGTGTCTAATGTACTTCCCCAAGATAATTCTCCGTATCTCAACTACACCACTGCCAAGGCTGGTCGCCGAAAGCGCTGCAGTTTTAAAGTACTTGTACTGCTAGGATCAGGAAGTGTGGATCAAATTCGTGCCGTTATGGCGGAGATCTCAGAATCTACATGCAACGGAATGATTGGGATTAGGGTTTGCAAGCATACAAATAGGAGTCCTACAAATGTTGTACCCTCTAGGGAGTGCCTCACTGCAGCCTATCATAACATTAACATTTGACACACCCCCATAGGCTAAGTGAGGGACACCACGGCAAGCAAGGTGAAACAAACGGTCACAAGACCAGTCAAGGCAAGACAAGCTCAGGGTGGATCTCAAGGACACCACACAAATTCCGAGCGCAAGCAAGCGGCCACAAGGCCAGTTCAAGAGTTCACTAGGATATAAATACAAAGCACAACAAGCAGAGGAAGCAACAGGACTACAGCAACCTAGGGCCTACCTCAACAAGCCCCAACTGCACACAGAACCTGTGGTGGTCACCAAGCGCCAAGGCCTTGGTGAAGACGTCTGCAGTGTTGGCCTCTAAGGCCACAAAGTCCAGGCGTGCCTGACCGCATCGCTGCAGCTCTCGCAGGAGGAAGTACCTCACGTCAATATGCTTCACTCTGCTCTCCAGTCGAGGCTCTCGACACAGGAGGACCATGGCCTTGTTGTCAGCGTACAAGGTCGGTGCAGAGCGAGGCCGCTCACCAAGGTCGGCGAGCAAGAAGGTCAACCAGCGAAGCTCCTGAGCCGCCATGGCACCAGCGTAGATCTCTGCCTCTGCACTGGAAGTAGCCACAGACGACGACCGTGTAGACCTCCACGACACAGCACCAGCTCCCAGACTGAAGCAGTAACCCTGAGTCGAGCGCTGAGTCTCCACGTCGTCAGCGTAGGAAGAGTCACAGTGACCAGTCAACGCCACTGGCTGAGTCCCTCCAAGCACAAGCCCCATGCCTGATGTAGTCGCCAGGTGCTTCGCCACCCTCACAGCAGCTGTCCAGTGGACAGGGCGGTGTCTCCCAGTCGCAACAAAGCGAGAAAGGATGCTGAGGGGAAAGGCGAGGTCCGGTCGAGTACAAGTCATCAGGTACATGAGGCAGCCCACCAGCTCTGCGTAGGGTCCACTGGACTCAAAGGGCTCGTCAGGAAAGGGGCCCGTGAGTCTGTGGTCAACAGCAAGAGGAGTGGGGTGAGTGGTGGAGAACTGGAAGTCGAACCGCCGAAAGAACTGCTGCACCATGTGTGACTGCGTCAGTGTGATGGTGCGAGCGGCTCTGTCCCGGGTGATCTGCAAGCCAAGGTAACGCTGCAGCTCACCCAGGTCAGTGCACTTGTGTCTCTTCTGCAGTTCGGACTTCACCTGAGCCAGGGCTGCCCTGTCTGCTGTAGCAAACACCAAGTCGTCGACGTAGACAAGGATAAAGAAAGGAGTAGAACCCGCTCGAACAAACAGCGATGGGTCGGCGGAGGACGGGCTGAACCCAAGGTCACGAAGCGTGGAGCGAAGAGTGTCGTGCCACTCACGGGGCGACTGGCGGAGACCGTAGACTGGTCGCCTCAGGCTCCACTGGGTCCCAGGTGGGAAGGTGTCAGTGAAGCCAGGAGGACGGCACAGCCAGATCTCCTCGTGCAGTCGGCCCTGGAGGAACGCAGTGGAGAAGTCGAGGGAGTGCAGCTCGTAGTCTCGCTGCGCTGCTATGTGGAGTAACACCCGAAGAGTAGTCATCTTCGGGGTCGGGGCGAAGGTCTGGAAGAAGTCAACTCCCTCACGCTGACTGAAGCCCCTAGCCACGTAGCGCACCTTGAACACCGGCGGTGCTCCAGGCGGCCGCTTCACCTTGAAGAGCCACATGCCATCGACTACGTTCGCCCTGGGAGGGGGAACTGCATCGACGTAGGTGCCTGTGGATCTCCAAGACGCCAACTCTGAGTTCATAGCCGCTTTCCACTGAGAGGCCCACGCCCCTGACACTGCCTCGCGGTAAGTGCGAGGAGTCGGTATGTCAAGGGCGTCGGGGTCTCCCTCAGGGGAGAGCAGCATGGCACACACAGAGGGAGAAGCGGCTGTCCAGTACTCCAGCTCAGACTCTCTGTCCTCTAGGACGTCACAGCCAAGGGCAAACCCACCCCCGACGGACAGAGGACGGGAGGGAGGAGCTGGCACCACACGGGTGGCGTAGTCAAGGCGGCTGGCGGCAGCAAACTCAGCGACAGCGGCAGTAAGAGCCGAGACAGACGACGGAGGGAAACGAGAGTCGGTGACAAGAGTGGCGAGGACACGTGCGGCAACAGGACGAACAGCGCGGTAGTAGTCAGTGATAGGAGTGGGGAGGGCTGGGAGAGAGGACGGAGGAGGAGACGGGAGAACGGACACAGGAGAACGACGACGAGACGAACAAAGGAGGGCTGTGTGAAGGTCAGTAACAGGGGACGAG